CCAGGGCTTGCGATGTCACTCTTTGGAGCAACAATGAATGCAAAATCTTAAGGACCAGGGCCTGCGATTTGACTCTTTGGAGCAAAAATTGAGCCCAAAATCTTAGGGACCAGGGCTTGCGATTTGACTCTTTGGAGCAAAAACTGGGCTCAAGATCTTAGGGACCAGGGCTTGCGATGTCACTCTTTGGAGCAAAAAATGAACCCAAAATCTTAGGGACCAGGGCTTGCGATTTGACTCTTTGAACCAAAAACTGTGCCCCAAATCTTAGGGACCAGGGCTTGCGATGTCACTCTTTGGAGCAAAAAACGAACCCAAAATCTTAAGGACCAGGGCTTGCGATGTCACTCTTTGGAGCAAAAATTGAACCCAAAATCTTAGGGACCAGGACTTGCGATGTCACTCTTTGGAGCAAAAACTGGGCCCCAAATCCTAGGGACCAGGGCTTGCGATGTCACTCTTTGGAGCAAAAAATGAACCCAAAATCTTAGGGACCAGGGCTTGCGATGTTACTCTTTGGAGCAAAAACTGGGCCCCAAATCTTAGGGACCAGGGCTTGCGATGTCACTCTTTGGAGCAAAAATTGAACCCAAAATCTTAGGGACCAGGACTTGCGATGTCACTCTTTGGAGCAAAACTGGGCCCCCAATCTTAGGGACCAGAGCTTGCGATGTCACTCTTTGGAGCAAAAATTGAACCCAAAATCTTAGGGACCAGGGCTTGCGATTTGACTCTTCGGAGCAAAAACTGGGCCCAAGATCTTAGGGACCAGGGCTTGCGATGTCACTCTTTGGAGCAAAGATTGAACCCAAAATCTTAGGGACCAGGGCTTGCGATTTGACCCTTTGGAGCAAAAACTGGGCCCAAAATCTTAGGGACCAGGGCTTGCGATTTGACTCTTTGGAGCAACTGGGCCCAAGATCTTAGGGACCAGGGCTTGCGATGTCACTCTTTTGGGCAAGAAATGAGCCCAAAATCTTAGGGAGCAGGGCTTGCGATTTGACCCTTTGGAGCAAAAACTGTGCCCCAAATCTTAGGGACCAGGGCTTGCGGTTTGACTCTGTGGAGCAAAAATTGAACCCGAAATCTTCGGGACCAGGGCTTGCGATTTGACTCTTCGGAGCAAGAAATGAGCCCAAAATCTTAAGGACCAGGGCTTGCTTTGGAGCAAAAAACTGAGTCCAAAATCTTAGGGACCAGGGCTTGCGATTTGACTCTTTGGAGCAAAAACTGGGCCCCAAATAATAGGGACCAGGGCTTGCGATGTTACTCTTTGGGGCAAGAAATGAGCCCAAAATCTTAGGGACCAGGGCTTGCGATGTTACTCTTTGGGGCAAGAAATGAGCTCAAAATCTTAGGGACCAGGGCTTGCGATGTCACTTTTTGGAGCAAAAACTGTGCCCTAGTATTGGGGGGAGGAGGGCTCGTGATTTAGTATTGGGAGGAGGCCCGGGCTCGTAAATTAGTATTGGGGGGAGGCCCGGGCTCGTGATTTAGTATTGCGGGAGGCCCGGGCTCGTGATTTAGTATTGGGGGGAGGCCCGGGCTCGTGATTTAATATTGGGGGGAGGCCCGGCCTCGTAATTTGGAGGCCCGGGCTCGTGATTTAGGAGGCCCGGGCTCGTGATTTAGTATTGCGGGAAGGCCCGGGCTCGTAATTTAGTATTGGGGGGAGGCCCGGGCTCGTGATTTAGTATTGGGGGGAGGCCCGGGCTCGTGGTTTAGTATTGGGGGGAGGAGGATGCCCCAGCCCCCACCCCCCATTTGGAAATAAATGAATTAATTGAATTAATTGAAATAATTCAATTAATTCCATTAATTCAATTCATTCAATTAATTCAATTAATTCAATTAATTCAATTAATTCAATTCATTCAATTAATTGATTTATTTCCAAAGGGGAGGTGGAATTAATTGAATTAATTGAATTAATTCAATTATTTCAATTAATTCAAGTAATTCATTTATTTCCAAATGGGGGGGATTCCCCAGCCCCCACCCCCCCCCCCTTTGGAAACAAATGAATTAATTGAATTAATTGAATTATTTGAATTAATTGAATTAATTCAATTAATTGAATTAATTCAATTAATTCAATTAATTCATTTATTTCCAAAGGGGAGGTGGAATTAATTGAATTAATTGAATTAATTGAATTAATTCAATTAATTGAATTAATTCAATTAATTCAATTAATTCATTTATTTCCAAATGGGGGGGATTCCCCAGCCCCCACCCCCCCCCCCCCTTTGGAAATAAATGAATATTGAATTAATTGAAATAACTGAAGTAATTGATTCAATTATTCAATTAATTCATTATTTACAAAGGGGGAGGTGGAATATTTAATTGAATTAATTTCAATTCTTTCAATTAATTCAATTAATTCAATTAATAAGTTAATTCAATAATTCATTAATCAATTAATTCAAATTAATGTCATTTAATTCCCAATGTGGGGGAGTGGTGGGGGGCTGGGAATCCCCCCATTTGGAAATAATTGAATTAATTGAATTAATTGATTTAATTGAATTAATTGAATTAATTGAATTAATTGAATCAATTCAATTAATTCAATTACTTCAAGTAATTCAATTAATTCCACCCCCCGCTTTGGAAATAAATGAATTAATTGAATTAATTCAATTAATTCAATTAATTCAATTAATTCAATTAATTCAATTACTTCAATTAATTCATTTGTTTCCAAAGGGGGGGGGTGGGGGCTGGGGAATCCCCCCCATTTGGAAATGAATGAACTAATTGAACGAAATTATTTAAACTATCGCGGCTCGATTTGGCCAAATTTTGCCGGGCAGCTTGCGGGCAAAATTTGGCCAAATCGGGCTGCTCTTCGTATGCCATGAGAAATGCGCGGCTCGATTTGGCCAAATTTTGCCCGGAGGCTGCCCGGCAAAATTTGGCCAAACCGAGCCGCGCATTTCTCAGCGCGTACGACGAGCAGCCCGATTTGGCCAAATTTTGCCCGCAGACTTCCCGGCAAAATTTGGCCAAACCGAGCCGCGATAGTTTAAATAATTTCGGGCCTCCAGAAAGGCGCGGCTCGATTTGGCCAGATTTTGCCGAACAGTCTGCGGGCAAAATTTGGCCAAATCGGGCTGCTCGTCGAACGCGATGAGAAATGCGCGGCTCGATTTGGCCAAATTTTGCCGGGCAGCCTCCGGGCAAAATTTGGCCAAATCGAGCCGCGCCTTTCTGAAGCCCGAAATTTTTAAACTATCGCGGCTCGATTTGGCCAAATTTTGCCGGGCAGCTTCCGGGCAAAATTTGGCCAAATCGGGCTGCCCTTCGTATGCGATGAGAAATGCGTGGCTCGATTTGGCCAAACTTTGCCCGGAGGCTGCCCGGCAAAATTTGGCCAAATCGAGCCGCGATAGTTTAAATAATTTCGGGCCTCCAGAAAGGCGCGGCTCGATTTGGCCAAATTTTGCCGGGCAGCCTCCGGGCAAAATTTGGCCAAATCGAGCTGGGGGGGGTGGGGTCTGGGGAATCCCCCCCATTTGGAAATAAATGAATTAATTGAATTAATTGAATTAATTGAATTAATTGAATTAATTCAATTAATTCAATTAATTAAATTAATTCAATTAATTCCACCCCCCCTTTGGAAATAAATGAATTAATTGAATTAATTGAATTAATTGAATTAATTCAATTAATTCAATTAATTCAATTAATTCAATTAATTCAATTAATTCATTTATTTCCAAAGGGGGGGAGGGGTGGGGGCTGGGGAATCCCCCCCATTTGGAAATAAATGAATTAATTGAATTAATCGAAATAATTCAACTAATTCAACTAATTCAATTAATTCAATTAATTCATTTATTTCCAAAGGGGAGGTGGAATTAATTGAATTAATTGAATTAATTCCAATTAATTCAATTAATTCAATTAATTCAATTAATTCAATTAATTCAATTAATTCATTTATTTCCAAAGGGGGGGTTCAATTAATTCAATTAATTCAATTAATTCAATTAATTTAATTCAATTAATTCAATTAATTCAACTAATTCAATTAATTCCACCCCCCCTTTGGAAATAAATGAATTAATTGAATTAATTCATTAAATTCATTAAATTCCAGGGGGAAAGTGGAAATTAAGGAATTTAATGAATTAAATTCTGTCTGTGCAACCCTACAGGACCTAAAATAGGGTCTATTTGGAACATGGCTCTTGTGAATAAGTATACGTTTTGGGGCCTGTTTTCCTCTTGTAAATACGATTCCCAGCTTCCAAATAGACCCTATTTAAGCTGCCCCCCCCCCCCCCCCCCCCCCCTCCCCGGCTCCCCGTTCCGGGTTCAAGGGTGCCCTGAGGGCTTAGGGGTTGCAGGATTTGAGGGTTGAAGATTTTGGGTTTTGGGTCTTAGGCTGAGGGTTGAAGGTGTAGCAGCCCTAAACCTTAAACCCTAAACCCTAAACCCTGAACCCTAAACCCTAAACCCTAAACCCTAAACCCTAAACTCTAAACCCTAACCCTAAACCCAAACCCTAAACCCTAAACCCTAAACCCTAAACCCTGAACCCTGAACCCTGAACCCTGAACCCTGAACCCTCATCCCCCCTCCCCCCCCCCACCCCGGTTATAAGCAATCGGGGCGCATCAGCAGGGTGTAGAAGATAAGCCCTGCAACCCAGCAGAGTGACAAAGGCTTGGGGCTTCAAGTGGTTATGATGAGATGTCATTCAGGGTTGGTGTTTAGGGACTTGGGGCTTTTGGGCTTTATCTATTTGTATTTTATTTCGTTGTTGTTGTTATTCTTTCTCATTTATGTTCTTGTTTTCATGTAATTCAGGACTTAGGGAATGGATGTATTTAGAGGTTAAAGATTTAGGGCTTGAATGTAACTCAGGGGTTAAGTTTTTAGGGCTTAGGATTCCTAGGGTTACTCTGGGACCTCGAACATGTATCATTAGAAGTACGGCAAGTGTGTTGCAGCAACTCTTAGTAGCAGTGCACATAGCCCTCTTGTTAGCTGCCCGCGAGCCTTCAAGGAGGGTGCCAAACCCGTGATCCGGGGCTGGCTTGCAATCTGGGCCCTCCTTCCCTGTGAGGTTCTCCACACTGCACTGGGAGACTTGGAGGACGAGTCGAGCGCGATGCTGAAGAGGCCGAGTATCGGCTCCACAGTCTCCTGTCTCCTTTTGGGCGACTTTCGAGCCGAAATGATCCTGTACAGCTTTGTCGGGTTATTGGGTGATGACTGCCTTTCCAAACTTGGACTCGTCTGGGCATCAGGGGTCAACTGCTGGGAGAAGGCTTCGGCAGCTGCCAAAAGGTTGCGGCTGATGGTCTTGCCCTGGTACAAGATTCCTTCGCTCTTCAGCTTGGCAAGGGTTGCCGGCATCACCGTGCTTCATAGTTTTTGATCGGGATTTAGGGAGCTTGGTAGTCAAGGGGTTCTATGTAGTTCCCTAATGCTCTTCAGCCCTAAGACCTCAGCCCTAAACCCTCAGCCTCTAAACCCAGAACCAGGAGCAAGAGCCCTCTTTAATTTAAGAGTATCCATGAGCTGGCCATGGTGTTGGCCCTTAAACCACTAAACCTTAAATCGGGGGGCCCCCAAAACTTAACATGCACCTAGTCTGAAAGCCCCGATGTCCCCTAAACCTAAATACTCTAAGCCTGTGCTCCCTGAATCCAAACCCCCAAAGCCTGAAGTCCTCGAGCCCGCCGGATTCGGGATTATTTGAGGGGCCTTTGGGCGCCGTGTCGGGTTTTGAAGAACTGTTCCTGGGCCACGTGTTGAGGATAGCACATAGACCCATAAACACCTGTAGGGTTTAGGGCTTATGGTTTAGGGAACATAGGGTTTAGGGTTTAGGCTTCAGGAAACCCTAAACCCTAAACGTGGAAAGAAAGGGCAGCAGCGGGCATCCTAGAACCTACCAAGCGCGAGAGCTGTCGCGGCTTCTGAGACAACTTCAAGTCTCAAAGGGGTAGCCGCAAGTGGGTTCAGCGTTTAGGGTTTGTAGGAACCTTAAACCCTGAACACGAAACCCTAAACCTACAAACAAAATCACAATCCTTACCCAGCTATAACCACCCAGAATAACCTTCAGGTACACCGACGGGGAGGATAAGGGAGTCCAAACCGTGAAGCCCGACAAGCCCCTGGATGGGCTGAGGGTTTAGGGTTTAGGGTTTAGGGCTTAGGCCTAGGCTTAGGGTTTAAGAATCCCTGACGCCCCTCCAGTCCGCCTATGAACACGTGGTTCAGCTGGTTCACGAAGAAGTGCCCCCCGGAATCTTGCTTGCGGCCTGGCGCGGCTTCTTGGGCGGCTGGGGGAGAGCCCCCCTCATCTGAGGACACATCTTACTGCTTTGTATTGCTTGATAAAGGGTGTGTAGGGTGTCTCGAATCTTTTAACAATCAATGCGAGTCTGTATATATATATATATACATATAAATTTAAATAATTAAATACATAAATATAAATAAATAAATACATAAATAAAAAAATAAATAAATAAATATATATATATATATATATATAGATGTTTGTTTCTGTAGGGCTTGAAGATGTTTTGGGGCGTTCTTCATGCCAGAATGGGGGCCTTTCGGTTATGGGTCTTCGGCTTGAGAACGTATCCCTTTTGCTCGAAGGCTCATGGGGTAGCTACGCGTGGGGTTCTAGGTACACTAGAGAAGCTACAGTCGAAAAAAGCCCTGAAACCCTGGACGCGGGTGTAGAGGGTTAACAGGGTACGTAGGGCTTATAGGGATTAGGGGAGTTGTTTGTTCCAAGGTTTGGAGGGTATGTGAGGCTGCAGGGTTTAGAGGGCTTAGGTTTTACACGCTTGAAAGGGTGTTCGGGTTTATAGGGCCTGGGGTAGCCTATGACTTATGATCCTCTGGGGGGGCTACTTTCAACCCGTAAACCCTTCCACCCGAAACCCTCAAACCACAACAGCCGGAGCCGACGATCTCAAGCCAAGCTCCCTCTTTCCCCCCCCCCCATATCCCCTAGATAGAGTACCTGATTCTCTATGTCACCCCCCCCAACATACAAACCCTAAACCCTTAACCTAATACGACAAATTCTTCGGGGTTCTCGTCTAAAAAGCTGCGGCAAGCAACTAACCCAGACTAGCCGACCGATATTCTTCCTTGCAGGTCAAAGCGAATCAAACCCCAAGGTCGGAAGCCCTCGCTCTGTTCCAGCCTTCCGAGAAGAGGGTTTAGGGTTTAGGGTTTAGGGTACCAAGAAAGCCCAAGACCCCTTGGTAAAGGATTTGTTATCTTCAACTGACAAGGGAATCCTGATTCGTAAATTTCAAGGGATCTTCCTCCGTTCAGGAGTGTTGGGGAGGGGGATGTTGGCGGTACCCTCGAGAAGCAGAGAAACCAGAAGGAATGTGCGCCAAGCCAAGAGCAAGATTTAAGATTTGTGAGCCGCCCGGCGGAAAAGCTAGACTCCAGCGCAACCCAAAAACAACAAGGCCACCCTATGCCGGTGTAACTCCAGCGAGGGTGAAGGGAAAAGGGCACACCAAGAAAAGCTAAGGAGTTAGACCCTGAGCCCTCATCGCTTAAGGTTAGGCTTTAGGGTAACCCTAAACCCTAAACCCTAAACCCAAAAAGCCTTCCGCGTACACGATGAGGTATCCGTAGACCACGCGGCAGATCCAGAAGTTGATCTCGGTGTGCGAACTTGAAGGTTTTTTGGGGTAGTAGGGTTTAGGGTTTAGGGTTTAGGGGTAGTAGGGTTTCGTGTTTGGGTTTGGGCTTCAGCGCGTAGCGTTCAGGATTCTAGATGCCCCCAAAAATAGGGTGATAAGCAGGCCTATAACTCTCGACTTGCAACCCGCTTACAACTGCCCATGCACCCCAAGTCGGCACCGTTGACGAACCAAGGGCATAGGTCCAGTCCAGCTGCCAAGAAAAGAAACAGGGAGCCCAATACCTCATGAGTGGGGGCATGCACCTTTAAAATGTTCTAGATATATCTCGATATATATATATATATAGAATTACATATGTATACATACATATCAAGAACTTGTAAAGTATCTTGCTCCTGGAAGAACAGGTTTTTGTGGTGCTCTAAAAAACCACGTTCCAACACACGCAGGGGAGTCAGCATGACGAAGCCCTGAAGGTTCCCAACAAACCTCGAAACTCGAAGTCCCAAACCCGAGATCTTCCTGCAACAGTCAGGCTAGGCGCCCCCGGTAACCTAGCAGAAAAAAATGCCATTGTTTACCTTAACTTTGCCGTAGCTCGACTTTATAAGGGATGCTAAGCCCTAACACACGGGAGTAACGGGAATACAGCTCGGAATGCTCCCCCTAAACCCTCAACCTCTCACCCCCAAACCCTAAGCCCTGAACCCTAAACCCTGAACCTCTAAACCCCAAACCCTCAACCTCTCACCCCCAAAGCCTAAACCCCTAAACCCTAAACCCCTAAACCCTGAACCTCTAAACCCTAAACCTCTGAACCTCTAAACCCCAAAACCCAAAACCCCTAAAACCCCAAACCCTAAACCCTAAACCCCTAAACCCCCAAACCCCCAAACCCTAAACCCCTAAAACCCTCCCTCTTGAGCTCAGCTTCATAGGCCATGAGGTTCATCAGCGGCGAGATGGTGCCGAAGATGATGGCCTCGGCTCGGGCTCTCCGGTGGGGAACATCTACAGGCGTGCATATACATATACATATATATATATATATGTATATGTATATATATATATACATATATGTATATGTATATGTATATATATATATATATCTATATATATATATATATGTATATGTATATGTATATATATATATGTATGTATATATATATATGTATATGTATATATATATATATACATATATCAATATATATATATATATATATATATATGTATATACACATGTACATGTACTTATGAATGGATGAATAAACAATTCTCTCTCTCTCTCTCTCTCTCTCTCTTTCTCTCTCTCTATATGAATACACATAGCGCAATATCGAGAGTTATACTCTGTATATAAACATGCGCCCCAATACCATACAATCCAACAACCCTGAACCCTGAACCCTGAACCCTAAACCCTAACCTGAACTCCACCCTTGACCGTCGAGTTCCAAGGTTCAAAAGAGCCAAGGGGGTCAGAATCGGGCATCGCACTAACGTTGGTTTACGGGTTTGGGGGTTTGCTAAACCCTAAACCCCAAACCCTAAACCCCAAACCCGAAACCCTAAACCCAAACCCTAAACCCTAAAACCCCAAACCCTAACGAGTGAGGGCAGAGTGGCAATGAGCAGGTTCGTGCTGAAGCGCGCGCTCCTAGTGAATGGTCTAGGGCTTCGGGTTTACCCTAAACCCTAAACCCTAAGCCCTAAACCCCAAACCCGAAACCCTAAACCCTAAAACCCAAACCCTAACGAGTGAGGGCAGAGTGGCAATGAGCAGGTTCGTGCTGAAGCGCGCGCTCCTAGTGAATGGTCTAGGGCTTCGGGTTTACCCTAAACCCTAAACCCTAAGCCCTAAACCCCAAACCCAAACCCGAAACCCTAAACCCTAAAAAGGGTTTAAGGCCTGGGTTTAATGCATGTGTCCCAGACGCTGCTACAAAAAAGGAGAGATGCTATGACATATCTGAGGGTTTGCGAGAATGAGGGCCTCTAAAATAGTCCCCCCAAATAGTAAGGATTCCCTGATAATAAGGACCCATAGATACCCCTAATTTCGGAAACCCCATCTGTGGTTTTGTATACTACATATAGCAGATGCTTTGCTGGGGCACATCTGGGTGAAGGGGTTTAATTGTCTGAATGCAGTAGCTGTACCCCGAACCTAACCGGGCCGCGAGGGTTTACTCCGACCCTAGGCCCTAAAGCCTAGATGCCCCATACTATAGGCTTCTTAAGGGAGGGAGGTTCAAGGGGGGTATGTAACCTAAGGTTCCCAAATGCTCCCCGCTACTCCCGAAGGCTCCCTAAGCTTCCTTAAGGCTCCCTAGGTATCTACCCCCATGAACCCCCCTCCCTTAAGAACCCTATAACCATAACACCCTTCAATCTCGCCTGTCCGCAGATCCTTTATCCCTTCGCCACAGGAGACGAAGAAGAAAGAGAAGCCATGAACTTTGCCTGAAGCCCTAAGCCCTAAGCCCTGAGCCCTAAGCCCCAAGCCCTAAACCCTAAACCTGAAGCCCCTAACCCCCCCCCTCCCCCCCGTCCCCCCCCTCCCACAGTCGCTGTCCTGGAGCCCATCCCATAGTAGTCCTGGAGTTCACGAGATCCCAAAGTCATGGTTGCGGGGCTTGGGTGAGGTGCCCGACTAAGTCCCTTTGAACCCCCTAAACCCTCAACCCTAAAAAAGGAAGAAAGCGAGGGCCTAAACCCTAAAAAGGAAGAAAGGGAGGGCCTAAACCCTAAAAAGGAAGAAAGGGAGGGGTCTGGAGCTTACTTTGAAAGCAGCAGTGTGATCGAGCTCGCGCTTGGAAAAGGGTAGGACTCGCGTCTCTGCGCCCAAGACCTGGAGGGCTTTGGACTTGGCGGGTTTAGGGTTTAGGGTTTAGGGTTTAGGGTTTAAGTAAAACACCCAACGTTTCCCTCGATGCTTAGGCTCCCAGGACCTGAGGGTTTAGGGTCAGAAAAAAACGATCCCAAACAACTCTCTGGGGTTCTGGGGTCTCTCAGTCACTGAGCCTGCCGCGTTATAATCCCCAGCTACCCAACCTTAACCCCCCCCCCCCCCCCCCCCCCCCCCCCCCCCCCTAAACCTCGACCCCAGGGCGAACAGGGTTCCCTCGCGTCTCGGAGAGGAGCATTCAATCTCGATAAGGGTCTATCTCGAGGAGCAAAGGAGAACAGTGTTTCGGTACCTCAAGTAGGGCTTTACCTCAATTGCGGTTCAATCTGAACTGCAGCCCTTCTGGTCCATGTTCAAACAAATGTGTGTGTGTGTGTGTGTGTGTGTGTGTGTGTGTGTGTGTGTGTGTGTGTGTGTGTTTTTTTTAGTTGGAATGACGTTTCTGCAACTTAGGTAAAACTTGCGACATCCGGTGCTACTTCCTTTCTACATCGAGTCGTATTGTCAACTGTTTTCCAGTGGTTTTCACTTCTTGCATCGTTGCGTACGCTAAGCAAAAGAAGAAGTTTAAAGATTATGCTCGATAGTTCTTGATCAAAAAACAACTCGCTGTTGAGCTACTAAGAATGCAAGAATGAAATTCGTAATTTCCAGACTTCAGACTTTAACATTTGTCACTTGTCATTTCGGTACAAAGATGAAGCAATTAAACCATTTTTGAAGGAGTTAAATTACAACTTTGAACTTAAACAGTAAATTATCTGAACAGCACTTCCAGCAACTAACTAAATTCGTTTGAGTGATTCTTTGCTGGTGGTGGATCTCCATCAAGCCAGATAAATCTGTGAGTTAGATTCATTAGGTTCTGAGGCCTAGACAAGAAATTAGGTAATTTGCGAATAATTCGCAGATGATTTTGATTAAACTACTCTAGATTAGCCAATTTATTTACAGGCCTCAGAACTGACTTAAGTCAATTAAGAGGGTTGGTGTAGTTCTATGCATCTAACTATTTTCGAGACTCTGGAAGTCAACTAACTGGCTTAATAACGTTCTTTGTAGACCTCAGATCTTAAATTACGTCTACATCATTAGATTATGTCAGCAACTGGTCGAGATGTACATATATATATATGTGTGTATACACACATACGCAATGAAATGAAGGATGCAAGATCGCACAAAAGATCCCTCTCAGATTCTTGGGTGTGATGTATCGACGACGTAGCCTAAGAGGCAGAGCCTCGAGCTTGCCATGTGTTAGGGTTTAGGGTTTAGGGTGTAAGGTGTATAGGGTTTAGGATCCCAAAGACACATGACAGCTGGCTAGACAGGCAAAGTACCCATGCACCTCAAGTAGAGTCTAGGGGGCTGAGCATTTAGGATGTGGGGAGGCTCTGACACCCTAAACCTCAAACCCTGAACCGGAAACCCCAAACCCCAAACCCCAAACCCCAAACCCCAAACCCTAAACCCTAAACCCTAAAGCCTAAAGCAGGGCTGCGGCTCCTGATCCTCGGGCTCAGAGAGTTTGCGCGCGTCATCGTCATTCCAGACCTTGGCGACGTGGCGTTCTTGGGGTTTCGATTTTCGGGGGTTTAGGGTTTAGGGTTTAGGGTTTAGGGTTTAGGGTTTAGGGTTTAGGGTTTAGGGTTTAGGGTTTAGGGTTTAGGGTTTAGCGGATTTGGGGTTTAGGGTTTAGGGTTTAGGGGGTTTTGGTTTTGGGGGGTTAGGGATCAGGGGTTTACAAAGGTGTTTACGTAGGTCTTTGTTTGCGTGAAGGGCCGTGGGAGGCTTCAGGGTTGCGGGGTTGAGGCTGAGGGTTTACATGTTAGGCTGTTTTTTGTACGGTACCTGAACCCCTGCGTGCTTACTGATCTATAAGGACATATACCAAGTGATGCAGAAGGTCTAGGCTTTAGGATTTAGGGTTAGGGAAACCGACCCGCTGTCGCCGACTCAAGCCCAGCAGTGCGTGTTTGCCCCTTAAGAGCCCGCAAACCCAAAACCCTAAACCAAGCCCTGAACCCTAAACCCAGGCGCGCCTTGGTGAAGGCCACGAACTTGCTGACCTGAATGTACCTGGCAACGGCAGAGCCCTAAACTGAAGCTCGTGGGTTTCCCTATTACCCCCCTCAAAACTACCACCCCTTTAGGGTTTAGGGTCTAGGGTCTAGGGTTTAGGGCTACTACCACTCCCCCCCTCCCCCCCCTTTCCCCCTCCCCGTCTGTTCCCCCCCTTAAATAGCCTTGATTCGGCTTAATTTTCCCTAAAGAGCCTCAATTATAAAAAGGGAACCTGGGAGGGCAGCTAGCGCCAAGAGCCCTGAAACTTGCAAGCTCCGCGCCATCTGAAAAGGGTAGCTTCATGGGCCCTTACTCTGGTCCTTTTACCTCCTTTAAGGGGTTCTGAAGTATGGGTTGGGTTGTGTAGGGTAAGGGCCCGTTTAAGGGCGCACAGAAAGGAACCATGTAACTACCCTAAGACATGTGAAAGCGGTTGTGGGTGAAGGTCTTAGGATCGTGGGGTCTTAGGTAGGGGTCTTCGTAGGGCCTTTAGTTCCACGGCCCTTTAATGCCCTTTGATTGGGGAGCCCTTATCTCTCTGTTGTATACCCTACGAAAACCCAAGGGCGCATACTTCAGAACCCTTGAACTTACCTCTCCAATAGCCAAGGAATGCAAGCTCAAACTTTGACATTCCTATGACATAAGGAAACCCAAGACTCAGGGTAGTTCTTGAAAAAGCTTTAAGTTCAACTCTAAACCCCAAACCCTAAACCCTAAAGCCTAAAGCCTAAACCCTAAACCGAGTAAGTTGAAGACGTAAGCAAATGTTCAGGGGGGGGGGGGGGGGCGTAACTTCCCTTCAAGGGGGCTTAAGCCATAAGCGCTTCGCATCTCTCCTTCTGCTGGGTTTAGGGTTTAGGGTTTAGGGTTTAGGGTTGAGGGCGACCTCAAAACCTGCCCCCGAATCTACATCCTCGTAGGGCTAAGCATTTCGGGGAGTCCATGGCCCATGGACTCCCTCCCGAAAGTCTAAACCGAACACCGGAAGCCCCAATCTACAATTTGTTTAAGAACCCCAAAAGAATAAACAGACTAATCCCTATATTACCCTTATAAAGAAGAATGTTTGTTATCTTTTTGGGTGGTTCATCAGCAATTAGTAGTAATTCCCTGTAGCCATAAGACCCCGCACAAAGGATTTTTACTTGGAGGTTCATGGGCAGTTATAAGTGGGGTTATAAGTAGGGGTAGGGTTACTATCATTCTGATTGGTTATAACCTTAGTTAGGGTACTTGTAACCCTGCTTATAACTACCCATGAACCTTCAAGTAGGGCTTGGGTCGCCTCAAGATTGCCCCTGAAAAGCCCACAAACCCACCTAAAACCTTACTAGTTGGGATGTTCCGCCTTATCCCTCAACCCTGAACCCTGAACCCTGAACCCTAAACCCTAAACCCCTGATACTAACAGTCCTTAATAGGGATGTTAGAACCCCTGCCTCGTCAGGTTCATGGCGTGGCTCACCCACCTTGGGGTTTTAGGGTTTAGGGTTTTAGGGCTTTAGGGTTTTAAGGTTTCAGGTTTGAGGGTTTTAGTGTTTCAGGGTTTTAGGGTTTCAGGGCTTTAGGGTTTTAGGGTTTCAGGGTTTTTGGTTTTAGGGGCTTGAGCGGCCAGGGGCTTAAGGGGCTTCAGGAGCTTTAGGGGCTTTTACGGGCCTTGAGGGGGTGCTTTGGAGGGTTTGAGGGGGCTTTAAACGGGTTTTTTAGCGGGGGCTAGGGGCTCAGGGTACAAGGTGCCGAAGGAGCTTCAGGAGGCTTTGGGGGGCTTTAGGGTTTGGGGTTTAGGGTTTGGGGTTTAGGGTTTAGGGTTTTTCGAGTTTCGGGGTGTTTTGGGATTATTTGGGGTGTTTAGGGGCGGGTTCTTGGGCTTTGTAGGGTTCAGAGCTTTCGGGGCTTTAGGTGTTCGGGGTTTGGAGCTTATGGGTTTAGGGCTTAGGGGGTTAGGTCTTAAGGGCTTTTGAGGTTTTTGGGTTTTAGGGATTTCGTGTTTTCGGGTTTGAGGGCTTTAGTGCTTTATGGTTTATAGGACCCAGGGGGGGGGTTTCGGGCTCAGGGCTTCAGGGCTTCAGGGTTTAGGGTTTAAGGATACCCAGTCTTTTTGGGAGAAGGGCGTCAGGGTGTTGGACCTGCGTGTACAGAGGGTTTATGGGGCTTCTAGGGCGTTTGGGGTTATAGGTTTTTGAGCCTTTGTAGGGAAAGTTTGCTTTTAAAGCTTTACAAAGTTTTCAGGGCGTTTAGGCTTTGAAGGGTTTAGGGTTTTTAGGGTCTAGGGCTAATCGAGTTTAGGAATGCAAGGTCAAGGGTTGAGAGGCTCCTACTTCTCTAAAACACCGCGGAATGAAGCTCTGGGTTCAGGGTTTTAAACAGCCACAGGAATGGAAAAAAGATGTAGGGTTTAGGGTTTAGGGTCTAGGTCTTAGGGTTTAGGGTTCTGCAAAAGGTTTCCTAAGCCCTAAGGCCCGAAGCCCAAAGCCCCAAGGCCCGAATTGAACGGCTAAGCCGCTGGAGGCCCAGGAAGTTCAGGTAGTAGTGCGTCGAGGACGGCATCCTCGGAAAGCTGGAGAACGGCTGCTTTTGTGAGCGGGTTTTAGGGTTTTAGGGCTCCTTGCCTTTACTTGGGAGCCATGGAATGTTGGGTTGCCATAAAGATTCTGAAAAGGGTGTACGGGGGAGAAGGCCCTAAGAACCCCCCCCCCCCCTCTCCCCTCTTCTCTTACGGCAGTTTCATGGTCCCTTAGTATGTAACTGCACAACCCAAGTCAAGGGCCCATACATCAGAACCCTTTAAAGTGTAAGGGGCCATGGGACCATATTGAGGGCCCATGAAACTACCCTTACATCTTCCAATCCCTCCAGAACCCTAAGCCCTAACTTCAGCCCGGAGCCCTTTTTTTGGACGCCCAAACCTGAACTGAACCTTCGATGGCTGCTTCACAACTCATGAGGCTGGCAACCAACGGGCCGACAAAATCGGCTTCGGGTTTAGGGTTTGGGGTTTGGGATTTAGGGATTCGGGTTCCGAAAGGATGGCGTGCGCAGCCCACTTTTCAGGGACGCGGGTAGTTGCACAGTTCTGGGTATAGGGTGTAGGGTTGATGAGTTTTAGATTAACCCATGAACCTTCAAGTACGTAAAATGGGCCTGAATAATTAGAATGGTGTATCGGGGGGGGGGTATTATAGTATAATTACAAAGGGACCCTACTGTAATTATTCCGACCCCTATATTACGCTCTCACCTGCGTATATAGACCCCAGACCCAGATCCAAGACCCAAACCCAGAACTCAAAACCCTCAAGCCCTGAACCCCAAGTTACTCTTCCGAAAAAAAATTCCTCAAGGCCCTATTGCCCTTCAGGTTCAGGGCTTACGGGTTTGAAACCACCCCAAACCCTAGAACCCTAGAACCCTAGAAGCCTAGCAGCCTAGAAGCCTAGAAGCCTAGAAGCCTAGAAGCCTGGAACCCTAGAACCCTAGAACCCCTAAATTACCCCTAAACCCCCTAAAGCCCCTGACGCCTCAGACGGGTTGCTTGTCTGCCAGGAGCAGCGGGAAGCTCATCGGATCTTTGGCCACATCCGATACGAAGGAGACAAAGTCCTCCCATCATCGGCTTTTGGGACTTTCCGGTTTGGATTTGGGGGTTTTGGGGTTAAGGGATTAGGATTTTGGGGTTTTGGGGTTTAGGGGTTTAGGGTTGGGTTTAGGGTTTGGATTTTGGGGTTTTGGGTTTAAGGGATTAGGGTTTTAGAGGGTTCAGGGTTTTAGGGCTTTCGGGGTTTAGGGTTGAGGGTTTTAGGGTTCTGGGTTTAGGTGTTTGGTGCCTATAGGGTTTAGGGTTCAGGCATTAGGGCGGGTAGAGGGACCTATCGAATCAGAGTGGAGATTTCGGGTTCAGTTTTTAGGGTTTAGGGTTTGGGCTTCAGGGTGTGCGAAGCTCATAGCTATGCTTGAAGGTTCATGGGTACTTGCAAGTGGGGTTATAAGCCATGTTAGGGTTGTCAGTTGTAAGTTTAGCTACCTTACTTCTAACCCCACTTAGAACTACCCATGAACCTAAACTGCAACCCTCAACCCTATATGTCCCTTATATCCTTCACAAGCAGACCCCAGGGCCCCTACTTCAGAACCCTTGCTTCGAGGTGAGGGGATGCAACTTTTCTTGGAAAAATCTCCAAAACCCGGAAACCCTAAACCCTGCACCCGAACCCTAAACCCCTAGGCAATGAGCCTTCCAAACCCACCTGGGGGGTTGCCGAATATGGGCGGGGGGTACCCCCTTTTGTTCTTATAATCAAGATTTGGGTTTAGGGTTTAGGGTTCAGGGTTCAGGGGTACCGCTATCTTGGGAAATTCCTCCTCTTTCAACGCACCGGTCGAACCATTGGCCTTCAGCTATGGTCACGCCGCACAGCGCGCCCCATTTGACCCTCATGCAACCAGCAAGCATCCCAAACTCCCACAACTGGGGTTTAGGGTTTTGTTAGGGTTTAGGGTTTAGGGCTTAGGGCTTCGGAGCCTTGCGTAGAACCGCTGGAAGCCTCAACCCCCGACCTCCAACCCCTCAAAAAACCTGACCAAGCTACCTCCCAGCTCCTCCTAAACCCTAAACCCTAAACCCTAAACCCTAAACCCTAAACCCTAAACCCTAAACCCTAAACCCTAAACCCCCCAGCCTGCCCCACGACGGTCACCATGATCACGAAGAAGACCAGGAACCAGAAGTACCAGGCTTGGAGCTCCCTCTGATTCCACACCTCTTGGGGTTTAGGGTTTAGGGCTTAGGGTTTAGGGTTTAAGGTTTAGGGTTTAGGGTTTAGGGCTAGGGTTTAGGGTTTCGGGTTTGGGGTTGAAGAGCGGAGTTGGCATAAGTCTCTACTCCACCCCGTCATCACTCGAACAGCAATATTCCGAATTCTACTAGAACTGCTCCTGAATTTACTAGACCTTAACATGATGGGTAATATCTAGTTGTAGGAGAGAGGGAAGAAATAATCTCAGGGGGGGCAAAGGACAAGGGTTCAGGAGTTGGGGGTTTAGATTCAATTTGTGGTTTGGGTCAGGAATGTACAACATGGTCCTCGTCGAATGTGGCCTAGTTGGACTCGATCATGTTATGGAAGAAGCTTTGAGCTCGAAATGTTTGGAGTGCTTTGCAAGCCCTTCCCCCCCCCCCCCCCCCCCTCCCCTCTGAAACGTTCAGAAAGCCTTCCCCCCCCTTGCCTAACGCCACATCCTCTACGCATGAGCAACCCACAAAACCAGAAAAAGAAGCCCCACGAGACACCACCAAAATAAGACCAACGGACCTCCCCAAACAAAAAGCAGACAGACACACGCACACACAAACATGCAAAACAAACACACATAGAACCCCAGAAACGTCCTCCTAAAAACGTCTCCAAAACTCCGCCTCCGACTTGAAGTTGAACAGCATCGCGAAGATGTTAATCAGCACCTGGCGATAGGCAACAGGCCCCTTTTTTGGCCCTTCAACGGGAACCCCTTTTATACCCTGTAAAACCCACGGGCCCATACTTCAGAACCATTTAACGGAGGTGGTAAGGGACCATACGCGGCCCATAGAGCTCCCTTAGAAGAGGGGCCCGTGCTGCACCTTAAGGGAATGCAGTTGTCTTGCCGTACAATTGACACTTTCCAGCTAAATGACCTTCTGAGAATGGACTTATTGCTGTCAATGACCTTAGACAGTGTGAACATGTACCCTTCGCTTGTCATGAGCATATGTATGTATATATATATATATATATAATTTAATTACTGCTGCCTGTTTTACGCATTCTTGTAAAAACTGATTGTTGTCCACCAATTATCACTTGAGATGATTGAACAGTCATAAGGTCCACATACGAACCAATAGACCTGTCAGCCAGCGCAGTGCTCATGAGCCGGTCATGCAGGACTTGTGTCACGTGCGCGCGGAACTTTCTCGCCTGACACGGGTTCATGTTGGGATCACGGTCACAGACGGGAGTACTTTCCAGGCAGTTGCTTGGGCAATGAGCGCAGCAGACTGCCGGGTGCAAGACAGTGTAGAATGCTGGAGGTTGGCCAAGCAACCTTGCAGTCATCTTGCAACTCATGTGCTGCCAAGCCGGAGAGGCAACCCCCACACTCTTCTCCCCAAGCCACGCCTTGAGAACGGGATTGGGAGTGTAGCAGAGTAGACAGATACAGCTACAATCTTCGAGGGTGGAGGGGGGTTTTGGGATTGTGGGAGGAGAAGAAGTGTGGTTGAGGGCCTGGGGTTTGGGGCACAACTCCGACACCATGGTCCACGAATCCGAAACCCGAAGCTCTGATCCCGAAAACTAAAACCCTGAACCTCAAATCCTAAAACCCGCCAACCCCAAACCCCAAAGCCTAAACCCCGAACCCCACACCCTATCCCCCAAACCCCAAACCCTGATTCCCATTCACCCAGACCCTACACTGAACGATAAACCCTGAACCCTAAACACCCCTAAACCGAAAACCCTGAACCCCGAACCGCAAACCCTGACCCCTAAACCCGAAACCCCAAACCCTACACCAAAACCCTAACCCCTAAACCGAAACCCCCAAACCAAGAACCCCGAACCGCAAACCCTAGCCCCTAAACCCCAAACCCCAAACCCTACACTAAAACCCTGAACCCTAACCCCCAAACTAAAACCCTAAACCCTAAACTCTGAACCCGAAACCCTAAACCCTAAACCCCTAAACCCTAAACCCTAAACTCTGAACCCTAAACCCTAAACCCTAAACCCCTAAAAAACCCACATGCCCAGCCCGCCGTGGGGGCAAAGGCCAGGAAGATCATAAGGCCAAGCCTCTGGGGTTTAGGGTTTAGGGCTAAGGGTTTAGGGTTTAGGGTTTGGGGTTTAGGGTTAGGGTTTAGGGCTTGGGGTTTGGGTTTCGGTCAAACCTCAATTGTTTGGAGGGTCTTTCCTGACCTCAGGAGCCTATTGCAAAACATGAAGACTAGCAGCCAAGGTTCCAGGTCAGGGGCGGTCCAGGGAGGGTTTTTCAGGGCGTAACCCTGAACCCTAAACCCTAAACCCTAAACCCTAGCCCTAAACCCTAAACCCTAAACCCCCTGAACCCTGAACCCTAAACCAGGTCCTCGGCTCAGGTCGCAGGGGGGTCGCAGAGGGGGGGGGAGTCCAGGGGTTTAAGGGGCGCCCAGTGTGGGGTTTGGGTTTCAGGGTTTGGGGTTTAGGGTTTAGGGTTTAGGGTTCAGGGTTTAGAGGTGTAGGGTTTTGGGTTTGGATTTAGGGTTCAGGGTTTGAGGTTTGGGGTCAATTTTCAGGGGTGGTTGTGTTATGGGCGGGGTATTTAAGTAGACTCACTGTTGCTATTTCTGTAACCCATGCCACCCAAACCCCTAAACCGATTTTTGCTTTTTGGCTTATTGTTCGAGCTTGTAATAGGGCTCATGATATAAATAAAAAAAATAAATAAATAAATAAACAAATAAATAAATAAATAAATAAATAAATATATATATATATATACACACTATATTCGTATGTATAGATCTATTACTATTTCTTATCGGTCGGTGACTGTATCTGTGGGGCGTCTTTTTGGGGATGCGAGTAAAACAAATCACAAGCATGCTTCGAGTCACCAGGGAATCATGAGTTTTGGGATCTCTCCATGGGGTGGGGGCTTGGAAGCCAATTCCTTTTCGGCTTCCTAAAGGCGCCGCAAATACACAAACCCTACACCCCAAAAGCCATGGTAAAACACCCCTCTGAAAACCCCAAAGCCCCCAAAACCCTCAAAGCCCTTCAAAGCGCAAGCTGCCCCCGCACATTTGCCGCCAGCATGCGTAGGGGCGTAGGCCGACCAAAGGCTCTGGAAGGGGCCTTTTATGGGGGGCGAAGCTGGGGGCTGAGAGTACATATATATATATATGTATTTCTATCATATGTAGAGAGGGAGAGAGAGAGAGAGAGAGAGAGAGAGAGAGAGAGAGAGAGAGAGAGAGAGAGAGAGAGAGAGAGAGAGAGAGAGAGAGAGAGAGAGAGAGAGAAGAGAGTGAGAGATCATATGTAGAGAAGAGAGAGAGAGAGAGAGAGAGAGAGAGAGAGAGAGAGAGAGAGAGAGAGAGAGAGAGAGAGAGAGAGAGAGAGAGAGAGAGAGAGAGAGAGAGAGAGGAGAGAGAGAGGTGAGAGAGAGAGAGAGAGAGAGAGAGAGAGAGAGAGAGAAAGAGAGAGAAAGAGAGAGCTGATATAGGGGTTACGGGGGCCATAGAGGCTATTCAGGTGCTACAAGAAGTTCTAGAAAAGGGGTGTTGTAGCGGCAAAAGAGGCTTTATAAGGTTCACGGGCTTCAGACCATCCTAGCACCACAGTGACACATACCTAAACCCGTACAAACCCTAGAGGGAAGAATCCGAACACGCAGAGCTTACTTGGAGGTACTTGTAATCTTACTTAGGGTGCTTAGAACCCTACTTATAACTACCAATGAACCTCCGAGTAGCCCTACACAGTAAACCCTAAACCCTAAGCCCGAAACCCTAAACCTAAACCGTAAACCCTAAACCGTAAGCCCTAAACCCTACACCCTAAACCGAAACCCTGAACCCTAAACCCTAGTAGTTGAGAGGTCACTCCCACTAAGCTGCACATCCGAAGTAAAGCCTAGAATTCCCATTCCCTGCCGCTTTTGGGGGTTTTTAAGGCTTACAGGCTTTTTGGGGTTTTGGGTTGATGTGGCTCACAGGGTTTTGGCCCGGGTTTTGCGTGGCTTCAAGGGTTGTTAAGTCTAGGGCTTGAAGGGTATGCCTAGGGTTTAGGGTTTACGAGGATGGCCCTTAAAACCCTCTGAAACATCTTCATGAACACGATCCCCTTAGACCCAATAGGGGGAAAAGTTTGGCGGGTTCTTAAACAATTAGTATTGCCGTGTTTGCGTTTTCGACCCAGCTTCCTGAAACCCTGAACCCAGACCCTAAACCCTAAACCCAAAACCATAATCCCTAAACCCCTTTCCCAGCCTAGGTCGATGGCGGTGGCCAAGTTCGTCACAAAGAGACAGAATGGTGTGAAAGCGACCTTCCAGTCTGAACCCGAAACCCGAAACCCGAAACCCGAAACCCTAAACCCCGAAACTCCTAAGCCCCATAAAGCATCTGGACCCTTGTAGGAACACGGCGGGGTGGGGTGGAACTCCTTGAGCCGTGTGTCGGATTTAGGGTTTAGGTTTTAGGGTTGAGGGTTTAGGGGTCTAAGTAAGTTAAAGCCATGGACCGTCGCTTCTCTTGCCGTTCACATACATGGAACTTCTGGTACAACCCTAAGGACCTAGGCCTCAAAAAGGCACCCTCTCGGATTCCTGTATGGAATACGGTGTCCACAACCCTGATTCCTAAACCCTAAACCCTAAACCCTAAGTCAGGGGCTCTATGTGGCAGTTGGTCAAAGTACTTGTCCCCCCAACAATGTCCCAATACACTTCCCGCACGCACACCCAAAACAGCCCTCAAGATCTTCCGAGCAAGCACCTCTCAGGGAGTCAACGTGCCTTCAAGGGCTCCCATTTTGGGATGTTCACCCCTTTTACTAACAGTCCGAAGTCCTTGATAGAGATGAATTATAGTACCCCCCCCCCCCCCCCCCCCCGAGATTAACCCATTTTACAACCAGAATCCCCAATTTACAACCAGAACCCCCTTTTTACAACCAGACATGGCGTTCTGAGCATGAGAACGCCCATTTTGCAACTGGACAACATCAGAACCACCATTTTGCAACCGGTCTCTGTCTATCTATCTGTCTATATATATGTATATTCACATATATATATATATGTATGTATATATATATATGTATATTCACATATATATATATATGTATATGTATATATATATATGTATATATAGGTATATTCACATATATATATATGTATATATATATATGTATATATATATGTATATATATATATGTATATATATATATATGTATATATATATATATGTATATATATGTATATATATATATATATATATTCACACATATACAGATTGATATACATGTAGAGAGAGATATACCTATATATATATATGTATATTTCTCTCCCTCGGTGCCTATTTAGGCTCCGCGAAAGTTTAATAGTGACCTTGGGGTTAACTTGGTGCTCTGAGCCCTCAGTACTAAACGCAAGATACGACAACAGCAGAACAAACTTTGCCACTTTCAGACACTAGTAACATAGTTAGCATGAAGCGGCCAGCTGCACATGGAACTCCTGGAGCAGCGACTTTCGTGGCTTCAGAGTACACTGTGTGGAAACAGACCTATTCCTCGAAGTCTGCCTGTTATGATGATCTTGGTTGCGGAGGCCATGCTGCCCGTGCGGTCAAGTCATCAGGCAAAGTCACATTTCTCAGGTGCCGATTGCGATCTTCCAAACCACCGTGCCACTGGTCTGCCATGATACGGGTGGCTTCGGATGACTCAGTCGAGCTCTTGCAACTTGACGACCCGAAGTTTGCTGAGCACAACTCCAAGAGTGTTCTGCAAGGCAAAAGGGGATGGGAGGACTTCCAGGAGCGCAAAACAGTAAGCAAGCTGCTGACCGACTGTGCCACCAGCAGACCACAAAGAGCCTTGCGATCTGCTCGTTTGCTGGATGTTGGTCCTGTGAAAAAAGTCCAGCTCAAGCAGGTGCAGAAGCTCAAAGAGAATCTTGTAAAGAAAGTGTATGGGTGCCGCGAACTTGGACAGCTCAGGGAAGCTATCAACAAGCGCAAAGCTCTGCCAGCAGCCCGCGACCGTGGCTACTTTCGCTACAGCTCTGTCTCCACTGATGGCAAAAAAAACAAAGTAGCCATGGTTGCCACAACACGGCCTTTGCAGGAAAGATGGGTCAATCAGCCTTCATGTGTTGCTTCAATGGACGGTGGCTTCAAATTCAACTTGCTGGGCTGGCCACTTCATGTGTTGGGCCATGTCAATGAGGCAGGTCAATTTGGACTTTGTGCGCTGGGGCTATCGTCAAATCTGGAGCAAAAGACTGTTCAGAGCATGCTTGAGGGATTTCGCGATAGCACTGCGCGTGTGACGCGGAGCAACACAAGGAAGAAACTGGCAATGTCTGACGCAGAGGCTGCTTATCGCAAGTCACTACGTGAGGCCTGCTGTCGAAAGCTCTAACCAATGATGTAAACCTATTGGATTTGGCATGTTTGGGATCTAAACGTTACTAAGTTGACGGTTCTTGGAAAATTAGAGTTAGCTGGGTTAGCTAAGACCCCACATATGCCTAACCCTAAACCCCAGGCCCACCCAGGACAGCCTCTTGGAGGGTTTTTTTGTCTGGGGCCTGGGTTTAGTGTTAGCTACATATGCCCTAAACCCTAACCCTAAACCCCGGGCCCACCCAGGACAGCCGCTTGGAGGGTTTTTTGTCTGGGGCCTGGGGTTTAGGGTTAGCTAAGACCCTACCTTCGCCCTAAACCCTAACCCTAAACCCCAGGCCCAGGGTTTTTTTGGTCTGGGGCCTGGGGTTTAGTGTTAGCTACATATGCCCTAAACCCTAACCCTAAACCCCGGCTCCACCCAGGACAGCCTCTTGGAGGGTTTTTTGTCTGGGGCCTGCGGTTTAGGGTTAGCTAAGACCCTACCTTTGCCCTAGACCCTAACCCTAAACCCCAGGCCCACCCAGGACAGCCTCTTGGAGGGTTTTTTGTCTGGGGCCTGGGGTTTAGTGTTAGCTTATAGACCGGGGCTTTGTTGTCTGTGGCAGGGGTTTAGGGTTAGCTGAGACCATGCGTATGAGGGTTTGCGTCATAGGGTCTTATGGTTGTGCTTCTTCAAACAAAACGGTGAAGAGCGGAGGTGTTTGGCGCCTCCAATCTCATGTGCTACTTCCACGTGAAGCAAGCCTGCAAGGACTATATTGTCAAGCATGGGCATGGTTCGGCCGAACAGAGGAATGAGATTTGGGACCTGGTCTCTGACGACATCGATGTGTTGCGAGGTGCACAGACTCTCGCGGACTTCCAGTCAAGGACGGGGTAATCCGAGACTAGCTATTAGTACACGTAGTCGCAGCGAAGGTCCTGCTGTTCTTGCGGTTGTTTCCCTTCCTGCAACCTAGCCTGAAGGTGCGCGGCAATCAAAGCTCAATGGGATGCGGGCATTGTCTCAGAGCGCACTGCTTGGCTGGACAAAGGCAAAGAGGAACGCAACTTCCCGGAATATTTCGCGCGGCAGTGGGGCACACAGGTGCCAGACTGGTACATAGGGGCGTCCAATGCAGCCATCGCCCCAAGCACCAACAATGCCGCAGAGGCTTGCATCAAGAACACACGCCTCGACGCTGGCAATGTGGTCGCCGGCATCGGGGAAATCGTGGCTTTTCTCTTATCTCAAGTCGAAGCTGTTTCACGCAACAACTTCGATGCAGCAGCAGCTCGCGTGACTCCGCGGCCTGTTTGGCGGCGGGCCGCCGCCTTCAGCACACACATTGGCACCCAACTTGTGCGCAAAGTTGAGCAGGATGGACAGGCTTGGTATGTTTGCAGCCCGCGAGAAGACCCGAGCGATGAAGACGTCGGTGCCCGCAAAGTCTTGAGCACGGTCTCTGCAACAGCCCTTGTCAAAGCCTTCTGCGCTCAGCGGCAAGGCAAGTGCTGTAAAACCCTAAACCCTAAACCCCAAACCCCAAACCCTAATCCCTAAACCCTAAACCCTAAAACCCTAAACCCTAAACCCTAAACTCTTTGTAGTTGTGTGCCTCGAGGCAAAGCCACCACTGCCACGCAGCTTGCAAAGTTCACTGGATCCGACGGTTGTCGGGTGTTTGGTATCCTCAATCAGGTCGCATTTTGCACTTGTCCTGCATTCTACCATCCTCGCCGTTGCTTTCACACTTTGGAAGTTTACTTGGGCAAAGTGAAGCTGCCAGAAGAGCTGGACACCACGCCGGTGGGCATGGCAGTGCGTGGCAACAAGCCCAAGGCTCCGGGCCGCTATGCTGTGCCTCTCCGAAGCGACGCCAAGGATTTACGCATAGCGCACTTGGAGGCTGAAGTACGTAAGCTTCGCAAGCAAGATGCTAAGCTTCCACCTGCAGCAGACCCAGATGATATCACTGGCGCAAGCTGCTCCAAGCCTGCGCGGCGCATCAGGGGCAAGACTGCCGACCAGGCGGTTGCACGGCTTCCAGACACACTCGGAGGTCCTCTGAACCACGTCCCTGCAGATTTGCATGAGACCTGTTGCGCTGCGGCTGACAAGGGTCAGTTTCCCATCACGTCCCCTGCGCAAAGAGCGCAGTTCATCCAGGGCGAGCCTTGGAAAGTTTGCATTGTCCCCCAATCATTGATGGAGGCTTTGCGATGGGGATATGTGCACCCAGACGCGGCTGCGCCGGCCGGATTAGTGTGGGAGCAAGCGGCTTCCGGACACCTCGTTTTGTCCGCAAGAGGTGGCCAGGCGGGCGAGCTTCGCAGTGCCCGCGGGGACACCTGGTCCGGGGCCTATTACTCCCCAACCCTGATCCTAAGCCCTATTACTCCCTAAACCCTAAACCCTAAGGCCCTAAACCCTACTACTCCCCAAACTTGGTCCAACACTTCATGACTCCCCAACCCTGGTCCATGTTAAGCTAAAGAAGAATAACCGCTTTCTTGGATAGGGTTGGCTTACAGTAAATTCCAGACAGTTGAAGCATGGTTTAAGGACTTTTTGGGGTTATGGAGACAAGAATGTTCCAACTTTCAGGAGTTTACAGTAAGAACGCCCAATTTGCAACCAGGCTCACTTTCAAATCTGCATGGTTGCTCTAAGGGATGTTGTTGGAGGATTGAGGTTTTTGCGTTCTAAGTCAATAGGCTTGTCAAGAGGCTTATGCACCTGGTTGCAATTTGGGCGTTCTCGAAACGCTTGCAGGTTGTAAAATAGGGGTTCTGGTTGTAAAATGGGGGTTCCCCCCCCCCCCCCCCCCCCCCCCAGTATAATCCCCATTAAGGAGCTGCTAGTATAAGGGGAAACATCTCGAGTTCCTGTCTTCTCTGCAAAAAATGTGTAATGTCTAGGGCTCACCGTGAGTCGGGGAGTCGTTTGGGCTTAAGGGTTTGGGGTTTAGGCCCTAAACCCTAAACCCTAAACCCTAAACCCTAAACCCTAAACCCTCAACCTAAACCCTAAACAACCTGGTAGATTTCAGGGTTTAGGGGCTTATGGACCAGAGGTTGCACTGAGAGGCCTTTTCCCATTCAGCCCCCGTCACCCTCGAAACCCTAAGAGCCCTGATGGCCTATGGTTCAGGGGTTTAGGGGGTTTAGGGGTTTGGGGTTTATGGTTGACCCTGAGACAGCCTAGAAGCACTCAGAGCCTTGAAAACCCTACCCTCGGGAAAAAAACCCTAAACGCCAGAAAATACCCTAGAACCGTACTTAATCCTTCAACCCTTCAAACCTATAATCCTTTAACCTCGTAACCCGAAAAAAACCTCTAAACCCTAAATCCTAAACCCCAAACCCTACACCCAAAACCCAAAAACCAAAACCCTTGCCTATAACTACCCATGAGCCTTCAAGTTGGCAGGTCAGCGCCTACTGCGACCGAAACCCTAAAACCTAACTCGCGCACTTCCTGGTCCAAGTCACGTAAAGCCCGAAGACCAGGCCGTAGCCCAGCAAGCGGCGGACGCCTGTCGCCCCGCTTGCTCGGGTTTGGGGTTTGGGGTTTGGGGTTTGGGGTTTAGGGTTTAGGGTTTGGGGTTTGGGGTTTAGGGTTTCGGGTTTGGGGTTTAGGGTTTGTTCTTATTTTTTAGTGTTTGGGGTTTACGGTTTGGGGTTTAGGGTTTGGGGTTTGGGGTTTAAGGTTTAGGGAACAGGGTTTAGGGTTAAGGTTTAGGGGTTAGGGCACTAAACGCCAAACTCTAAGCCCCTGTCTGGGGAACTCACATAAGCCATTACGTCCGTTCTTCACGAGGGCTACATGCTTAGGGTGTAGGGTTCAGTTCTTCAACCCTAAACCCTAAACTCTAAACCCTAAACCCTAAATCCTAAGCCCTAAGTTTAGTAGTAGTTTAGGGTTTTCCATCAGAGCCCGGGCATATGGCTGTGGCAAGATACCCTTCTTGACATGACCTCCGCTAGAACCTCCGAGTCGGGACTATATTCAGTCGGGACTCGAAGCAGTACCCACATATTAGCCCTAAACCCTAAACCCTAAACCCTAAACCCTCAACCCTCAACCCTCAACCCTAAACCCTAAATCTAAACCCTGAGGTCTCGCGATGCTCGGGAGCCTCGCAGCTCCACGTTCACCTTCAAGTCGGACCAAATGATGTCCTTAGCTTCTCTAGGGTTCTTCAGGGAGGGGGGGGGTTCCAGGGGGGGGGGGAGGTACCTGGAAACCCCCCATCTTCCACCTCACAGGAGTGGTAGCCTCTTTTGTAGGGTTTAGGGTTTAGGGTTTAGGGTTTAGGGTGTAGGGTTCAGGCTTAGGGCTTAGGGGGTTCCAGGGGGCTAGGTGCCTAGGGAACCTTCGGGAAGCTTAGGGAGCCTTGGGGAGTAGTGGGGGAGTATGGAACCTTGGGTTACATACCCCCCTTAAACCCTAAACCCCAAACCCTAAACCCTAAACCCTGAACCCTAAACCCTACCCTAAACCCTAAACCCTAAACCCTAAACTCTGAACCCTGAACCCTAAAACCCTAAACCCTAAACCCTAAACCCTAAACCCTCCCTGGAGAACCCTATGAGTAGCTTAATTGGAGAATCCCCAGGCGCCTTGGAGAAGAAGACACGGGTTTTTGAGGAATCAGGGGTTTAGGGTGTAGGGTATTGGGTAACCCTAAGCACTAAACCCTTTTTGGGGTTCCTAAGAAAACTGGAAGAAAAGTAGGCCTTGGGTTCTTAAGGTAGTTCCGAGTGTTGAGGAGCAGCTAAAAAATATAGAATGGTTGTGAAAACGCCACTTTCTCTGGAACCTTGACCCGCACACATACCTAAACACTAAACCCTAAACCCTAAAAGCCCCAAACCCTAAACCCGAACCCAGAAACGGAACTTCCCTAAACCCTAAACCCTAAACCCTAAACCCTAAGGGCCTGCCTGGAAACCTAACTTCAAGGACGGGTTCAGGTCAGGGGCCTGTATGGGGTGGGACTGTGGTTGTCGTAGTGTTTCGGACTCTTGAACGCTTTGGAGGTTTAGGGCTTTTTACGGCCTTGGGGGTTGCGAGCTTGTTTTCGAGCATCCTGTACTCGTTGCATAGGGGGTGTTGCTTTTAGGGTGCACGGTTGTTTAGTACTTTTGGGGTTTACTGGCCTCAACCCCCTCCGCCAAAAAACCCAGAACCCAAACCCCAAAACGCAAACCTTACACACCAAACCCTAAACCCCAAACCCTAAACCCCCCTCCGCCCCACCCTTCCCTCCCGCGCCAGGAGGCCGAGGGAGGTGGCGGCAACGACACCTACGAGGCCCGAGGCAACCCCCTGGGCCCCTCAATGCCTCTGGGGTCTAGGGACTAGGGTTTGGTTTTGGGGTTTGGGGTTTGGGGTTTGGGGTTTCGGGCTTGGGGCTTGGGGTTTGGGGTTCAGGGTTCAGGGTTTAGGGTTTAGGGTTTGGGGTTTGGGGTTTGGGGTTTGGGGTTTGGGGTTTGGGGTTTGGTTTAGGGCGCTGTCTCCGGGCTTTGGGGCTTGGGGTTTCCGGAGCCCCGAGTCCTAAGCATTGAAAGGGCTTCTACGGCGGGTTCGGGTCCCTGAGCCCAATCCCCGGAAGATTGACCCCTTCCATCCCCCTCGCCAGAGGGACCGATTGGTAAAACAAGGGGCGTGTAAGATTCACAGCTCTTAACTTAGGGAACTTATTGGTATAGAGATTTTGACAACAAGAATATGTTTGAGGCTATGAATCGGAAGGATGAAGCATCATCTTCCACTATCATGATCCACGTCGCTGCCATCAGCAACATTATCGCCGCCATCGTCGTCATCATCATCATCATCATCATCATCACCATCATACAAGATGCCGTGAGGCCGACACCATGGACCGTCAAGTTCATGATATGCATCGTGGAAGAAAATTTCAAGCAGAACGCCCCTTTCCCGGAAACCTCTGGAACCCGAGCCGCCAAGGCCTTTAACCCTTAAGGCTTTCGGGTTTAGGGCGCCCGAAAAACTCTAACAACCCCTAAAGGGTCTGGATGCCGACCTGGAGCAGTGGCGCTACTCTTTTCGCCCTCGGAATCAATAGCCAGGAAGCTAGTCAATCTCGTTTAAGCACTTCCTGGGCGGCTCGGTGTGCAAGACTTCCACACTGGCCAGGGGTATTGAAAGTTCCAAGCCCTTGGTGTGGAGAAACCAAACCCCGATCCTGTCTTTGTCGGGATAAACTTCTACGACCTTCCCTTCCTTGCCCACCAGGTCCTTGCGAGACTTCAAGTGCACCACCTTGACCTTGCGCCCAAGCAGCTCGGGCCCTGCGATGCTGGGATCAAAGTCGTCGTCCTCCATGTCCTCCTCCTCTTCTCCTTCCTCCATCTCCTAGGTTTGCCCTTAAAACCCTCTGAAAAAATCACTATGATCCTCTTAAAACCCATTAAGGGGAAACATATACAATGTCCCCTAAGGGCCTACCGAGTATCGACATCAGACATGGAGTCGTCCTCGCACTCCTCCCGGATGTCGTTCAGGAGGCGGCCGCTGCTCAGCAGCGCTTGATGCACCTTGGGACCAAGGGCCGCGTTCAGGCAGGAGAGATTGAACTTCGATTGCTCGGCCTGCGTGGGGAGGTTCCACTGGGCGTGGCGAGCGTGGCCTTGCTTCAGGAAGTTGAGGACGCGCAGGTCGTAGTTGGCATCCAAGTTCAATGTCCGGACACGTGGAAGGTAGAGGCTCAGTTTGTCGACGCAGTCCCCACGCCGGAAGGTGAAGTCTGTGCAGTTTGGCAGATACAGGCTGGGAAGGGTCTCCTCTGCCCAAAGCTTGTGCGCAAAAAATCGGCGAATCTTAGGGCACTGAACCACTGAGGCTGCAAAGTTCTTTGCTGGAGGCACGTGGTTCTCCATGATAAGCACTTCCAGATTCTCGAGCTCAAGGTTCCACTTCCCATCTTGGCACTGGGGGTCGACCAGCGTCAGCTCTTTGAGCTGCGGCCAGCTTTTGAGCTCAAAGTGTTTGACCAACATGTGCTGTAACAAGAGCGCTGTCACCATGGGCATGTACTTGCCAACCAGCTGGGAAAAGCCTGTGAAGTCGAAGACGGGATCCTCCTCATCCCAGCCAGGAACAGGGTAGAGGTAGATCTTCGTGATGCTCTGTGCATGTTGCAGCTTCTTTAGAACGGAGTTTTCGAAATGTGCCGCACTTCGCCCTGCAGCGCTCTTGAGCACGAAGAGATTGTCCGCGTCTTCAATGAACTCATGATTCCGCTTCTCGATCTCTGTTTCTACTGGGTTCGGATGCACCATCGTTGCACCGGCCAACATCCGCGCAAGCTCAGTCGCCAACTTTGCATTCGTGGCCTTGCTCATGCTAACTGTTCGGAACTGCGGCGAGGCGTCCATGGCTTCTGGGCAGGCGATGAACAACTAAACCCAAACCCCAAACCCTAAACCCTAAACCCTAACCCTAAACCCTAAACCCTAAACCCTAAGGTTGAATGCCCTTGTCGGTTGCCGTGCTCAGCAAAACCTTCCGGTCAGAGATGACGGAAGCGGCCTATTGCTCAAGATGGCCATCCAGGTTGGTCCTTCAATCCTTCTGAAAGCATATTCCTTCACAGGACTCTACCTCGAGCCCCGAAGGTGGGGTACCCTTGGGTTTGGGCACCCATTTTTACAGATGGTTAAGGGAATAAAGGGCCATATATAGGAGTATATTAAGGGAAACCTTTGGGTGCACCACCTTCGGGGTACGAGGCGTAAACCCTTCATTCATACATAATATGATCCTCTTAAACCCAAGAAGGGGGAGATATGAAATAGCCCAAGGGCCTACCCAGTCGGGGGGCGCGCAAGGCTGCCCTAAACCCCAAGCTTGAAGCCCTCAACGTCCCCCTACTTGGAGGTTTATGGGTAGTTATAAGCGGGGTTATAAGTATAGGGTAACCGTAGTGCTGATTGTTTATAACCATATGTAGGGTACTTAATACCCCCCACTTAAAAATACCTAAAGATGAACCTCCAAGTAATGGTGCCCGGAGCCTGCCAGGTCGTGGTGTCTGCGGACATCTTCATCTGGACCGCCACCCTGAAAGAGCTGAGGGTTTAGGGTTTAGGTTTTGGGGTTTAGGGTTTGGTGGGGTTAGGATTAAGGACATGTGGTGGTGACGGGCGAAGATAAAAGAAAGAGAAGTACGTAAGTCCGCACCCCCTGAACCCCAAAGCCCTTCATCTGAACCCCCCACCCCCCCGCAGTTTTCCGAGCGTTTTAGGGTTTTGGGTTTAGGGCTACTTGAAGGTTCATGGGTAGGTATCAGTAGGGCTATAAGGGCCCGATATAGGGTTGTAGTTCGAATTACCTTACTTACAACCTTGCTTATAGCTAACCATGAACCTTCAAGTACACCCCGAAGCTTGAACCCAAAAGCTTGAACCCCAGACCCTAAACCCTAAACCCCATACCCCCCCCCCCCCCCCCCCCCCCAAAAAAAAAAAAAAAAAAAAAAAAAAAACCAAAAAGCGCCCAAGCATGGAGACTAGACCCAGGAGTAGACTAGGAATAAGAAGGCTGCCCTTTTTGGCTTTAAAGGGGGTTCTAAGAGAACCCAAACCACCCGAAAAAAATGAGAATAAGGGCCTACTCTGAGTCCTAGGAGATCCTTCACCCCCCAGAAAAAAAGGCCTAAACCCTAAACCCTAAACCCTAAACCCTAAACCCTAAACCCTTCACCCCGGTTGTGAGGCGGCGCCTTGCATCCCGCCGGTCTTTGAACGTCACGAAGCCGGTGTGGCCGTTCACGCCGCCGGCACCTGAAGGGTTTAGGGTTTAGGGTTTAGGGGCTTAGGGTTTAGGGTTTAGGGTTTAGGGTTTAGGGTTTAGGAGTCATTTTAAACCTATTTCGGTGGAGAAAGCTGGGATTTGGATGCGCATTTGCAAAAGAGGCGCGGGCTGAGGACCGTCGGGGCCTTTAGGGCCTGTAGTGCTTAAATGACAAAGATGCAAAGTTTTTTTGGGTGTTAAGGGTACGTGGGCTTTAGGGGAAACGCGGGGCGGAGGGTAGAACAAGTTTCTCCCTAAACTCCGCTTCAGGGGGAGCAAAGTAAACGGGAATGTGTGCGTGAGGGGGGGGGGGGTGTTTTCGTTCGGGGGCGAGGGTTTTGGGGTTTGGGATCCCAAACCCTGAGCCCTGAACCCTAAACCCTAAACCCTAAACCCTACACCCTACCCTACCTAGCACTCGCCAGAGGGTTTAGGGTTCAGGGTCACTGCTGGGGAGCCGGGCTCTCGCTCGCATCCTTCGCGTACTTGTCGCGGTTGGATAGCACCTCCGCCCTGCGAATCTTGAGGCTCTTGAAGGTTTCGGTGGCCGGGGTTTAGGGTTTAGGGTTTAGGTTAGTTGGGGTTTTGGGGTTTTGGGGCTGAAAGGGTTCAGGGTTTAGGGTTAGCTAGGGTGGGTTGGGATGTTCCCCCTTATTGCTAACAGGCCTTCATAGGGATTTAATAATCCCTATTAGGGACTGCTAGTATAAGGGGGAACATCCCAAGTTCTGGTGTTTTGAGGCAGCTCAAGAAACTTGGGGTCTTGGGGTTTAGGACTCCTCAGAAAGGGTTTAGAGGGTTTACCAGGATACCTCTCAACCACCTCCCAAAGAGTTGATAGGGCTTTGTTGCAGGGGACGGCTGAAAAATGTGCCAGGGCGCATACGTGAAGGCGGATGGGTAGCCACGAAGCATATAGGGTTAGAAGTGCCCGACATAAGGTTCTAGCCAGTTGCACGTAACGTTGCCTTACTTAAAAACCCCAGTTCATCAACCTTCAAGTAGCCCTAAACCCTCCCGAAACCCTACACCCTAGACCCTGAACCCTGGGCTCTGTTGCACAGGAAAGTAGAGTGTGCTCGGGAAGCTCGTAGGGCTCAATTGGCTTCGGGGTCTTTGAATTTGGGGAAAAGTGTTAGGGGTTTGGGGTTTAGGGTTTGGGACTCAAGGCTCGGATGAGTGTAGGGTTTAGGGTTTAGGGTTGAGGGTTTAGGGTTTAGGGTTTCGGTTTAGGGCTACAAGTGCCACTCCCCTCCCCGACACCGGATGATGCTGCTCCAGGCACGATTTGTCGGCGACCACCTTTGTCCAGTACTCGATGGCGTCCTTCCGGGCTAGAACAACAGGATCCAAGAAAATTTGGAGCCCTAAACCCTAAACCCTAAACCCTAGACCCTAAACCCTAAACCCTCAACCCCAAGTGGCGGATTCTCAAACGGTTCCAGGGGCCACAAAGGAGCCCGGAGACTTCGCTCCAGAGCTTTAGGGGTTTTAGGTGTTGTAGGGTTTGGGGTTTGGGGTTTAGGGTTTGGGGTGTAGGGTTTAGGGTTTGGGGTTTGGGGTGTAGAGTTTATAGGGTCAGGGCTTCAGGATTTTTTGGGCTTCTCGGGTTTTGGGTCTTTGCGGGTTTGGGTGTTTTTCGGGTTTGCGGAGTTTTTCCGGCTTTGGGGTTTCGGGGTCGGGTTCTTGGGTTTAGGCACCCGATTTTAGAGCTTGGGGCGCTTGACGTGTACCGAGATGTAGACAAGCTCTCAGCAGTTTGGGCAGTTGCAAGAAAACTTCGACAATGCGTGACAGGACCTGTCATCTGGGTTGGCTGACTTATGAACTGGATTTGGGACCCTCAACCCTAAAACCCAAAACAAGCCCCAAACCCGAAACACCCCAAACTCCCTAGAAACTTAACCTCTGAGCCTCTGAACCCTAAACACCCCAAAGCCCTAATCAGAGGACTATGGGTGCGAGAGTGCCAAAAGGTCTGGGCATCCTGACACCAGCTTAGAGAACCTTATAGTTGGAAGTTGGTTCAGGGCTCAGGGCTCAGGGCTCAGGGCTCAGGGCTGAGGGTTTAGGGTTTAGGGTTTAGGGTTTAGGGTTTAGGGTTTAGGGTTTAGGGTAGCATGGAGGCTCATGGGCAGTAACACGTGGCGTGATAGGTGAGGTAACTACAATTAACCTGGCTATCATGCTTCTGCGTAACCCTACTTGAAACTACCCATGAACCTTCACGTATATCGCTTTTTGAGGATTCATGGGTAGTTATAAGTAGGGCTAAGAAGTGCCCAAGATGAGGTCGTAGCCACTGATAATCATGGCGACGCTACGTCTTCGCCCAACTGAATACCGCACGTGAACCGCAAAAAACTGCCCTAAACCCTAAACCCCAAACCCTAAACCCGAAGCCCTAAACCCTAAACCCTAAACCCCCTAAAACTGCTTCCCGGCACCGAGTGCCGTCCTCCTCTGAGGCCATCATGGACGGCTTGACCTTCGGCCGCTTGTCATCCTGCGGGTTTAGGGTTTAGGGTTTAGGGTTTAGGGGGTTTGGGGTTTAGGGCTTAGGGTTTAGGGTCGGGGGCATCCCCAAGAATATGTGTAGACATCCGGGACCCCCGGAGTTGAGAAGGTTTAGGGTTTAGGGTTTAGGGCTTAGGGATTAGGGTTTAGGGTTTTAGGGTTTAGGCTTTACGGGTTGCTTGGAAGTTCATGTGGGTAGGTATACATGGGGTTACAAGTAGGTAAGTATAAGTATAACCGGAGATGGCATTCTTTAGGGCACTTGTCAGACTACTTATAACTACCCATGAACCTTGAACTAGGGTTGTTGGGGTTTGAGGTTTAGGGTGTGAGCTTCCGGGAATTTCAGGTGCCTCAGAAACCAAAATTTACAAAACTGAGGCGTCCAAGACCCTGGGGGTGCGCACGGGCTCGCGGTTTAGGGTTTGTGGTTTAGCTGTCAGGATCCCTAGATGCAAACCTGACATCTGCACCCCAAACCGTAAGTGACATCGGCACATGCTCCGCAATGAAGGTGCGCTGGAACTCCAAAAACCCTAAACCCTAAACCCTAAACCCTAGAGCCTAGACCCTAGACCCTAAACCCTAAACCCTAAACCCGAAACCCTAAACCCTAAACCCTAAACCCTAAACCCTAAACCCAAACAATGAGCCCACGGTCGTATTTGCTCTGTGTCGACATCGATTCCCAACATCGCTCGGAGCTGAAGTTGAAAAGCGCCTCCAATCCCGAAACCCCAAACCCTGAAGCCAAACGCTAAGCTCTGAACCCAGGGTTTAGGGTTTAGGGTTTAGGGTTTAGGGCCTAAACTCTAAACCCGGTCCTGTTTGCCCTCGTTCTCCCACTGCTGCGTTGCCTGGGCCGCCAATGACAAAAACCCAGCGGGCCACGAAGCCCTAAACCCTTACCCCAATCTCCCTGAACCCCAACGACCGCATAATTCACTGTAAACCCCCACCCCCCCCCCCCCCCCCCCGCCCCCCCTTCCTGAGGAGGACCTTTTGCACAAGGAGTTCTTTGAAAGGAGGGGATCCTCGTTTCAGGCCGCTTTGGAGTTTAGGGCTTCGGGTTTGGGGCTAGGACTTATGCACGCGTTTCCCCGACTCCTAGCTGCGGAAGAAGAAGACACCCCAAACCCTAAACAGCAAGCACTAAACCCCAAACCCCACATTCAAACCCCAAACCCTGAACCCCTGACAACCTGAAACCCTAAAACCTAACTCTAAAATCCCTAGGCCCCAACACCCGAAACAACCCCAAACCCTCACGTGACCCCAGAGCCAAAGAGCCTCAACCCTAAATCCCAAAACAGACCCTGAAAATGACCCTGAATATCCCTAAGTAAACCCTAACCCTAAAACACCCTAAGCAACTCTTAAACAACTACCCCCCCCCCCCCCCCAAAAAAAAAAAAAAAAAAAAAAAAAAAAACTAAAAACTCCCTCAGCGCCGCCCCGGGACCATGTCGAGGGCCGCCTTCGCTGCCTGAAGCTCTGCAAAGGCCTCCATTTGGGCTTCGGGGCTTCGGGGCTTGGGGTGGTGTAGGGGTTTAGGGCTTGGGGGCTTAGGGGTTTAGAAGGGGTTTAGGGGTTTTGGGGTTTAGGGGTTTAGGGGTTCGAGGTTTGGGGTTTAAGGCTTCGGGACTTGGGGTGTTGCGGGGTTTAGGGTTTAGGGTTTAGGGTTTAGGGTTTAGGGTTGCTTGAAGGTTCAGCGGTGATTCTAGGTAGGGTTAGAAGTCGGGTAACCCTAACTATCCCTGCTTATATCACCCTAGTCAATTATGACTACCTGGCGAACCTTCAGGTCGGGGTTTGTGGTGTCGAAGGAGTTTAGGTTTAGGGTCTAGGGTTTAGGGTTTAGGGTTTAGGGTTTAGGGTTGAGGGTGTGGGGCTCAGTGCCTGGGGTTTGAGGGCATGGGGGTCATTGGGATTTAGGGTTCAGGGCTTCGGGATTTGGGGCTTAGGCTTCGGGGCCTGAGCCACGAAACCTTACTCTGAACCCCCCCCCCTCCCCCCCAGCAAAGAAGAAGTGGGGGGAATTCATGTTCGAAAGTCTGAACCGCAACCCCATCCCCCCCAGGCGCCGTCTCCAACTCGGGGATGGTCCTCGGATGTGGAGTTGAGCTCGAGTTTGGGAGATTTGGGATTTCTTTAGCTTGCGCAGCGCGCAGAACCCTGCCTCTCTGCGAGCCAAAATACTTCGCTTGTCTTTAAACCCTAAAGCCCATAAAGCCCTGGAACCCTGAAACCCTAATTAAGCCCTAAGACCCAAAACCGCCCCCAAAACCCTGAAATCTGTAAGGCCCCAAAACCCCGAAAGCCCATAAAATTCAGCAACCCTAAAACCCTAAGACCCGAAAACCCCCGCAAAACCCTAACACCCATAAAGCCCCCAGACCCATAAATCCCAACATCCCTGAAACCCTCAGACCCTAGAATACCCCCCAAAAAACCGAAGCCACAAAGCCCCAAGACCCACAAAAACCCAACAACCTTCCAACTTGAAACAGCCCGAAGCTAGGATGGCCCTCCCGTAAAAACATATTCTTACATATGAGCCCCTTCAAGCCAAGAAGGGAAAAAAAAAACATATCCCAAGGGCCTAATATAGGGGTCGGATTAATTACTCATAGCATTAGGGTCCCTCTACAAAAACACCAACCCCCAAAAACCAAAAACCAAAACCCAAAACCCTAAACCCCATTCTAATCATTAGAGGCCCCCATAATTACCCAGGAAGGCATCTTTCGGCCAAGGCTCTTGCACACGTTGCAGTCGGCCACGCTGCCTTTGCCGAACCTGGGTTTGGAGTTTCTGCGTTTAGGGTTTAGGGTTTAGGGTTTAGGGGGCTGCCTAGGGCTTAGGGTTATAGGGTTGTAGGGTTATAGGGTTTTAGGGTTTGGGATGAGCACTCTTCGGGGAGGGGGATCACTATACTTTGCCTCAGGGGTGAGGACGGAATGACACCGGATGTCGTCACCCTAAACCCTAAACCCTAAACCCTAAACCCCCAAACCCCCAAACCCCCAAACCCTAAACCCTAAACCCTTACCCCCCAAACCCTAAACCCCAAACCCTAACCCCCAAACCCTAAACCCCAAACCCTAAACTCTAAACCCTCCTAAACCCCAAACCCTGAACACAACAAAATGCACTCGTTCGTGCCGAGGCGGCATTCGGTCGAAGTAGGCCCTGACCTGCCAACTTGAAGGCTCATGGGTAGTTACAAGTAAGGGTTTAGGGTTTAGGGTTTAGGGTTTAGGTTTAGGGTTGAGGGAGAATAGTGTTTGGCGCTACTAGTAACCTCACATAGAGGGGGCCATGAACCTCCAAGGCGGCTCCACCCCAAATCACCACCAATCGTGGTTTTAGGCTCTTCGGGTTTGGGGGTCTTAGGGTCTTAGGGTTTGTGCCAGCATTTTGGGCCTGGCGTTTCAGGGAGTTAGAGTACCCGGCATTCGCATTTCGGGGATCAGGGTTTAGGGTCAAGGGGGATACGGTGTAAGGGTTTAGGGGGCCTTTAGGGGTGACAGGCTAGGGTTTCGGGGCCTTAGGGGTTTAGGTTTAGGGATTAGGGCAGGAGGTTTTGGGGTTTTGGGGTTTAGGGGGTTTTAGGGTTTCGGGTTGCAGAGTTTTAGGGCTTTTAAGTTGCTGGAGGTCGAAGCCCTAAACCCAGTAACCCTAAATCCCCAAACCCCTAGCGCCTAGGATTGTCCGGCTCCACAAGAGCTGGAGCTTGGACTTCGGAGTTTCTTGAGCTCATTGCTTTTTGAGGGTTTTCTGGGCTTCCACTTTCTTCACAGCTTCTGGGATGGCGGCTCGGGCTTGGGGTGTGTAGAGTTTAACATATATGTTTGCCGTGAGGCTCGGGCTTTTTGAGCTTCGCGGTTGGGGGTTCGTGGGTTAGGTATGTGTGGAGTTCTGAGTAAGGTATCTATACTTATCCTGGGGTATAACCTTACTTAGGGCACTTATAGCCCTACTTAGAACTACACATTAACCTGAACATTCAAGTAATAGAAGTGGGGCAGCTCTCCTGATAAAGAACCCTACTCGGAAGTAACTACCCATGAAGCCTAAACCCTAAACCCTGAACCTTCAACTGTAGAATCAACCTATCTAGGGGTTGTGCGGTTGTACCCGCAGGTTCTACCGAATTTGTGGGGACCCGTTTTAACCCTGAAGGTACGTAGTACAAGGGCCATATTAGGGGTAGGGTACAACCTTATTAGGGGTACGAGTCTGAATCCTTGAACGCAGCCGCCACAGGTCCAAATCTAATTGAACCTAAACCCTAAACCCTAAACCCTAATCCCTAAACCCTAAACCCCAAGAGCCCGCTCCAGCGGAGCAAACTTTCGAGGCGAAGAGTCCAGCGACACTTGGGCAGCCGGCACATCTTGGAATACATAAGTGCCAGGTCTCAGGCAGAAGCGTCTCTCCATGAAGAAAGGTATAGGGATCCCACAAAAGGGTAAACTAACCCCTAAGCCCGAAGCCCTAAACGCTACTTAAACCCGCAAAGACAGCCTTCTCGTCCTGCTGCTCCTCGTCCGGGATGCCTTCCACCTCAGGGGGGGGGGGTTCGGGTTTAGGGTTTAGGGTTTAGGGTTTAGGGTTTAGGGTTTAGGGTTTAGGGTTTAGGGTTTAGGGTTTAGGGTTTAGGGTTTAGGGTTTAGGGTTTAGGGTTTAGGGTTTAGGGTTTAGGGTTTAGGGTTTAGGGTATTAGGGTTTAGGGTTTAGGGTTTAGGGTTTAGGGTTTAGGGTTTAGGGTTTAGGGTTTAGGGTTTAGGGTTTAGGGTTTGGGGTTTAGGGTTTAGGGTTTAGGGATTGCAGGCTTCGGGCACAGTTGGAGCCTATGGGTTTTCTACATTTCTCTAACAAAGAATAAGATGAAAAGTGCTGAACCCCTTGGCTTTTAATTCCTGGTTCTCAAGAATCAAGAGAAGGTTAGGGTTTTTTCGGGGTGTTTGCAAATTAGGATTTGGCTGTCTGAGGGTTTAGGGTTTCGGGTTTCGGGTGAACTGTGCGTTGAACTCTAAACCCTAAACCGAGTCGAGATACAGGGTTGAGGGTTTTTAGGGTTTTATTAAAACCCCCCCCCCCCCCCCCCTCCCCCCCCCCCCTTCCCCCCCCCCCCCTCCCCCCCCGCCCCCCCCCCCCCTCCCCCCCCCCCATCCCCCCCCTCCCCCCCCCCCACTCGCCCCCCCCCCCCCTCCCCCCCTCCCCCCCCCCCCATCCCCCACCCTCCCCCCCCCCCACCCCCTCCCCCCCCTCCCTCCCCCCCCCCCCCTCCCCCCCCCCCCCCCCCCTCCCCCCCCCTCCCCCCCTCCTCCCCCCCCCCCCCTCCTCCCCCCCCCTCCCCCCCCCCCCCTCTCCCCCGTCCCCCCCCTCCCCCCCGCACCCCCCTCCCCCCGCCCCCCTCCCCCCCCTCCCCCCTCCCCACCCTCCCCCCCCCCCCCCCCCCCCCCCCCCCCCCCCTCGGAAATCCTAAACCGCAAACCGTCCTGGCCCAAGCCTCAAAAACTTGGAGGTTCACGGCTAGGTATAAGCAGGGTTATAAGTAAGAACAAATTACAAATTGTAGTTGCCTTGCTAAGATCCCCACTGAAAAACTACCCCTGAACCCCCACGTAGCCCCTTTTACCCTGGACATTGGAACCCCTGTTCGTTGACACGCTGTTTGAGCAAAACGCCTGATCCCCTGAAATAAAGGACACCCCTAATACCCCCCCTAGCTTCCCCCCATAGTTAAGGCTAGTTAGAGATAATTAAGCCAGTGGGGAACCCATGACCTAACATCGTAAACCCCCAATCCCTAAACCCCAAACTCTAAACCCTAAACCCTAAACCCTAAACCCTCAAGTGCAGCCGAGGTGCCATGACGGTGTTGGCCTGCGGGTTCTGCAAATTCTTCAGCCAGGTGGCGCGGGCCTTGCAAAACCTGAGCCGAGGGTTGATATCAGAAGCTTTCTAAGTGGGGTTTAGGGTTTGGGGGTTGGGGTTTAGGGTTTAGGGTTTAGGGTTTAGGGTTTAGGGTTTATTTAGGGCTACTCGGAGGTTCATGAGAAGTTAGAAGTATGGTTTCAAGTACCCGAAACAAGGTGATAACCCGTTCCAATTATAGTTACCCTATTTATAACCCCACTTGGAGCTACCCATGAACCTCCGATTAAACCTGGGTTTCGGGGGTTAGGTTTCCTTTCCTTTTCTTTTGTTCTCCCAGAGACTTCAAAACTTGACTCACCGAAAGCCCCTAAGGTCTGAAGGCCCCTGCGCTCCTGAAGTAGATCTTTGCGTCTGCTGAGGCTGCGCTGGTTACCCTTGCGCTGGGAACTCCTGCGCAAGGACAGAGGGCTAGCTCTTGGTAATGCATAATAAGCCGACACGTGGTCTCCATGCGCTCCTGCGAATCCTGGACGCTCTCAAGCCTGACGAAGCACAACAGGCAACCCGATGCTGTATCTCTGCTGCAAAACGACCCAAGCTTGTTGATGGCAACTGCAACTCTCATTCTAGTGGCGCAAGTACCTGCGCTCATCCAACGTAGACGTGTCTTTTTCGTGGCGCAACCTTGACCATGTGAAGGTTTGGCGGCTGCCGGCCAGAAATCGACAAGCTTCAACAGCTGCTGGACAGCTACGGGAAAATTCATTCCTGTCAGTTTCTGGCGGCGTGCCATCCACTGGGCCACGTGGCATGGTTCTCACGCCAAAAGCAAAACCAATCCTACCTGGTGATCTAAGTGATCTATGATCTATGACATGTCTGAACTTGCGCGTGAGAAGCCGATGCTGGGCGAAAATGAAAAACAAGTTGGAGCTTCAGCACATTTCAGCGCTTGCCAAACCTGGTCTGCCCTGCCAGTGTTAGAATGGGGTTCCGGTGTTGCCGGAGACTGGCTGCCTGGGCGGCTCTGACCAGGGCCTCAAGCTCGCCGTTTCGGACGACGACGTGCAAGGCATTGTTTAGTTGTGGATTCAGCACGTGCTTGAGGAAGAGAAGAAGTTCTTCCGGTGCACGGCGCACAACCATTGAGCCCTCTGAGTTAGCGTGCCCGCACCTCTGCAAGAACCCTGAAACGCAGCCCCAGCCTGACCACTCAACTCAAGATGCGGTTGAGGAAGCCATATCTGGCCAAGCTGCAGATTGCGCGGAATCTCGCTCATACAAGTCCATGGGCGTTTGCGGTTTGCCGCAAAGTTGATGGACATGTATGTCTCTTCGATGTAGTCGCTGATCTTCGGCGAGCGCAAGTTTAGGCCGGCTTCTTTCAGGAGTTGGCGACAAACTGTCCGCACTGCCTTGATGGCGTACTTCCTAGGAGCGTCATAGCACAGGTACGAGGCATGCACTTGCTTGTACGCAGCTATGGCGGCCTCCCTTGCTTGACCATCGTTGCGAGCCAACCAGGCTGCCAGTTGAGCTTTTTCAGCAAAACTGCAGCCGAGGCCACGGATGTCCGCCTCCATGGACAGGATGTGCGCAGCCAAGGAAGTGCTAGGCGGCGGCCCCCCCTGCTGAGCTACCATCGCCTGTACGTCGGCTTCTATCTGCTGAAGTTCAGCATCACCTCACGACAGGCAACAGCCAGCGCTTTACCCCTCCCCCTCTCCCTCCCTCTCCCCCTCTTTTCCTGGCCATGTCCCTCTCCCGTCTGTCTTTGTCTCTTTAGCCCTCGCGCGTTTTGTGAACCCAACCTTGCCCGTCAGGCGTATTTTCCAGGAAGCTCACCATGTCAGGGTCCGAAGACGCGCGAGTCTTGTCCCCGTCCCTGTCCCCGCCAACAAGCCCAGGATGCCAGGCGAGGCATGAAGGGGGTTGGTTTTGTGTGCCTTCTTGCTGTGAATGATCACATTGTGTGGGGCACGTACTCAATATCCTCCGGTAAGGGCTTTGCCGTCCACACCTTACACACTCGGAAAAAATACCAACTTGGATTGAAACGCACTACTTGAAAACTGGAGCAGCGCGCGACACATCGCTAGCTTCACTACATGTCTTCAAGCATTGCAGGCGGGTGGTCTGGACATCTGCTGCACACATAATTGGATCCCGCCACACGGCAAACTTGCCGGTAAGCACGCGTCCGCCCGAGATGATGTAGCATTGGCCATGCTCCAGCTCATCCCAAGGGTCGGGCACGGCAAAAGCCGTGACGCCGATGGTGGGCAGCACAAGTCGTGGATGTGCGAGATAATTGTCCACCCCCTGCAAGTAGCGCCGACCGCCGTGCTCAAAGCCTGCGGGGCTGCCTCTGGACATCGTCCAGGGCTTGTCTTCCGGCAGCCTTGCCTGTAATGTGTCGAGTGGAGTTGGATCGGGGCACTGTTCAAGGTATTGGAAGGTAATGTCCTCGCGCGGCACCCGCAGCGTTGCCCAGTCCACTTGCGGTCCGACTTGCGGGGGCTCCGAAGGCAAGAGCTTGTCCACGTGCACGCCTGGCGGGCACTCTGCCTCTGATGGCAAACCCCACGCCACGTTGGCAATGTTCTTGGCAGTGTACTCGTGCAGTCTTTTGGGCCATTCCTCCAGCTTGCGCTCTTGTGCATCCCGTTCCGGGCCAGACGGCATCAAACACAGTCTCAGCAGCAACGCCGCTATCACCTGTGAGTTTAGGCGCGGCGGCAAGTCCCGATTTGCAGAAGTCTGCACAATGTCCAGGCCAGGTTGCGCCGGCCACGGCACATTTTGGTCTGGCTGGAAGCGCAGCTTCACGCACGAGGACGGCACGCGGAACTCCTTTGGGTCCAATCTCTCATTGATGACCACCAAGCCCTTTGTAACCACCCACTCCTTCTGTGTAATCAGCACAGACCTGTGCTGGCCTATGTCGTAGAGTGTGATTCCTCGATGTGGGATGTCGATGGCTGTTTCCAGCATGCTGATGTCTGCTGCCACGGAGATGCCAACCTCAGCTCTCCCGTCATCCACTTTGTGCTTCCCGGCGACAAGTTCGTCCGGGACCTCATGGACCAGTCGCCAGTAAGGAATGAAGTGTTGGGAAAGTGTGAGTAGAAGGGGCAGCCTGGCGCACAGGTCGGCCACACTTGGCGTCGAAGCCTGCGCTCTGGAGAAAGTGTGCCCCTCTTCAAACCGGCGGCTGCAATAATACAGCATGCCTTTTTCATTCCCTGAACAAATGCGGGCAGGCGCGCCGATGCCGGATGCCTTCCAGGGAAAGATCACGGCAGGCTTTCTGCCACTCTTCGCCCAATGGACGGACCAAATGGGCGATGAGACCTCCCGCGTTTGGCGGCATTCTTGATGCCGACAAGCCTGCAGCGGACTGAACTCTGGAGGGAAGAGTTGGCCCGCGTTGTGATCTGGCTGAAAACGCAGGGCAGGCGTCGGGCCCTCGAGGTCCGGATCAGCCATGTAGCCGAAGATGTTGGCCGCCTCCAACAACCGGGCCTGCTCCTCTTGTGGCAGCGCCCACAGCTTCCGGAGGATGGCTCGTTGCCCCTCCGTATGTCCAGCCAATGCTGCCACGTCATGGTGGACGAAGGTGTCCAACATCTTCGCGCCCATGCGTGACAGGTCCAACGGCGGTTGAGGCCGATGGACTGCAGCCGCTGGGGCACACAGTGCCTGGAAAAAAGCACGGTCGACAGAGATGGTGGCGGCCATCGTGTTCCTGAGAAACGCTTGTTGAGTCTGCAAGCTTGCAAGGAAAATGTGTCCACTCAGAGGTACCTACCTACCTAGTTGAATCGTTTAAGGACGGGGCGACAAGCTGAGGCTTGCGCAATGTCGAGCGGCGAAGGTGAGGCAAGCGTTGACACTATGCTTGAGGCTGAGAATTTCTAAGCGGATCTTGCAATTGCCCCAGGACCAGCCCTTACACCATGACTTGCGCAGAACCAGTTTGCCGATGGGGGGCCTCAGCGCACTGCTCCAGGAAGCCAACACGGTGTGACAACGCTCGTGAAGCGAGTGGCTTTGCTCGACCCCTTCCAAGATCTTCAAGTTGCTTCATCTCAGTCTGAGGGCATGGCCAGATCTCGATGAAATCCGGCAAAACAAACCTGGACGGAGCAGACTAGGGAATCTAAGGCAAGCGTAATCCACGGCGATGGCCAACATGCAATCCTGCAAACCAAGCGTATGCTTCATGACTCCTGGAATGTAACAGCACTTCACGCTAGCTGATGTGCAACCACTGCTTACATTATACGCATCAAAGAAGCAAGCAGATGCTGAGCCACAGGCTGTTACACATTGACGAGGCGCCTGCAAACAGCACACGCAACTGGATTGAAGCAGGCTCCATTAGCTTCAACGGCAAGCAAGCGGCTAGCTGGGCTAGCTGCTCTATGCTGCACTGACCCGAACACACGCTGCATCTTCGGCCATGGCTTTTTTCTGACGGCGAAGGAGGACGTAGTCCAAAGTTCACCTGGGTTGGAGGGTCTCGCTGATGATGAGCGTGCCCTTGCAAAGATTGCGACCAGCACCAGCAGCCCGAAATTGAAAAGCAAAGGGACTGTTGGTCTCCGGGCAGGCTTGTCCCTCAGAGGCTCTTGTCGCGCAGCTGCGCAGCTCCCCGCTGCAGCACAGTTGCTGGCTGCTGCCTGGCGCCTGTCGTGAAGCCAGCTGAAGCTAGTTTTGGCCTTTTGAATCCAATTTGGGCCTTCGACAGTCAATTTGGGTTTTTGAAACAAATTTGGCTTTCTGAAGCCGCCAATTTGGGCCTTTCTGAAACCAATTTGGGCCTCCTGAAGCCTTCTGAAGTCAATTTGGGTCTTCTGAAGCCAACTTAGGCCTTCTGAAACATATTTAGGGCCTCACCTTTCGAAAATTTTCGCCGTAAAAAGTTTATTAAAGCTTAGGGCAGCCACCTATAGAAGAGTTGGCCTGGGCGCCACGCTGCGCTGGCGAACCCTAAACCCTAAACCCTAAACCCTAAACCCTAAACCCTAAACCCTAAACCCTAAACCCTAAACCCTAAACCCTAAACTGGAGCGAGCCGCGGGCTGCGATAAGCAGCGATGGCGACAGGCCCGCGGACGAGCCCGAGCCTTAGCCTGGCGAGGGCTCGGGGCCGTTGCGCGCTGAGCGCGGCCCACGCCTAGAAGGGTTTAACCCGCGTGCCAGCGTCAGTCTGGCTTCAAAGAGAATTACCCTAAAATGGGTTTTAGTGACCCCGCACTGGTGCGTCCTCCCCTGAGAGTCCAGGGAGGCCCCAGCTCTGAGCCTTTCTGGGCTCCTCCCAGACCATTTCTGAGGCTCCCGGACTGTTTTTGAGCCTTTTTTGGGCTCCTCCCGGACCATTCCTGGGCTTTTTGAGCTCTTCCCGGACCCTGAGCCTTTTTGTGCTCTTCCCGGACCATTTCTGTGCTTTTTTGGGCTCTCCTTTTTTGAGTGAGAGCCGGACCATTTCTGAGCCTTTTTGGGCTCCTCCCGGACCATTTCTGAGCCTTACCTGGGACCATTTCTGAGCCTTTCTGAGCTCTTCCCGAACCATTTCTGAGCCTTTTTGGGCTTCTCTGAGTCTTCTTGGGCGGAGCCCGGACCATTTCTGAGCCCCGGACCACCCGGACCGTTTCTTGGGTCCTCCCGGACCATTTCTGGGCTTTTTTGGGCTAGGCCCGGACCATTTCTGCACCTTTGAAATGACCTCTTCCCGGACAATTTCTGAGCCTTTTTGGGCGGAGCCCGGACCATTTCTGAGCCGCGGACCACCCAAACCGTTTCTCGGGTCCTCCCGGACCATTTCTGGGCCTTTTTGGGCTAGGCCCGGACCATTTTTGAGCCCATTTCTGAGCCTTTTCGGTGTCTTTTTCCGGACCATTTCTGAGCCTTTTTGGGCTCCTCCCGGACCATTTCTGAGCATTTTTTGACCTCCGCCCGGACCATTTCTGAGCTTTTTTGAGCTCTTCCCGGACCATTTCTGAGCCTTTTTGAGCTCTTCCGGACCATTTCTCATTTCTGAGCTTTTTTGGGTTTACCCCACCTTATGGACCATTTCTGAGCTTTTTGGGCTTCTGCGGGACCAGCTCTGAGCCTTTTTGGGCTCCTCCCGGACTGTTTGAGCCTTTTTGGGCTTCTCCGGATCATTAAACCATTTTTGGGCTGTTTTGGGCCTAAGCCCTCCCCAATCGTAGAGAAGGCGCAGGACCAAAAACCAAAGGGAGCCCAAGGCATAAACCTATGGGTCTTGTAAGCCCCGTATAAGCATCATAATTTGCGAAACACCAGGCAAAAACGCCTAAACCCGCCAAAAATCTTGTAAGCAAGGTCCCAAGACGTCCCAGGGGCCGAGGTTTCAGAGTGCCACCAGGAAATCCTTTCAGGAAGCCTCCTTCGGCCAGGCCTCCCAAACCCTCCCCAATCGTCTCCCAGGACCAAAAATCAAAGGGAGCCCAACATGTAAACCTATAAATCTT